GCTGAGCTGACGGTCAAGTCCATCAAAGCGCAGATCAGACGCACTTTGCTTCAAGGAGGGGCAACTGAGGAAATGTGGCCCTGGGCATTGCGATATGTCAACGAGGTCAATCGATGCTGGCGCCAGGGAATTGATCCTACGTGGCCGCCGTTCATGAAACAGGTCCTGGTGAGAAGGAGGAGATGGAAAAGAGGGAGTTTTGATCCCACAATGGAAACAGTGCGGTATTTGACACCTGCACCGGAGTCCCATGGACATTGGATAGTAGGAGAAGATGAGAAGCCGAGGCTGACGAGATCAGTCATGAAGAAGGCGGAGCTTCCACCAGATGAAGCACAATGGCTGGCGATCGAGCAGGAGACAGTTGATGCTTTGATGAAAAGACGGAGGATTCGTCAAAAGTCAACTATCAGAAGCTTTCAGAAGGATGAAGGCGCGGACTGCGAGAGGCAAAAGATGCAGCGAGGTGTAGAGAGGTTGATTGCAGAAGAGATGCCAAGAATGGTGGATGATCACCCAGACTTGGTAGCGCAAGAGATGAAGATTCTTCAAACTTTGAAGAAAATGGCAGAAGTGAAAGAGGAAGAAGAAGAAGTTTTGCAGACTCGGGTGATTTCACCGAAGGAGGTGGCCCGAGATTGGGAACAGTGGTTGCCAGCAGTGCGTGAGGAGGTGAACTCTTTGCTGACTGAGAAAGAGGCGATTCAGGAGATCAGCAAGACAGAGGTTGAGGCTTTGATACGAGAAGCTCATGCCAGTGGAAAGAAGGTGGAGATTCTTCCATCAAAACTAGTTTGCACCGTCAAACCAGGACCAAATGGTGGACGCCGAAAAGTCCGCTGGGTCATCTGCGGAAACTTTGAGGAGCAGAAGGCTGAAGATACCTTCAGCAGCGGTGCAGATGCCGCAGCGTTTCGCATTTTGGTCACAGCAGCTAGTTTTTTCCAGTGGGTTGGAGGCACAATTGATGTGAAGACTGCATTTTTGAATGCAGATATGAAGATGTCAAGCCCCGATGAGGTCTTGCTTATTCGTCCTCCACCTATCACTTTGGAAAAGAAGTACTTCACCCCTGGCACCTGTTATCTTCCTTTGAAGGCTGTCTATGGACTGAGGAGGTCACCGAGGCTGTGGGGAGATTGCAGGGATGAGTTTCTGGTTGAGGTTGAGGTGAAGCTAGAAGGCGAGGGAACAGTTTTGCATCTATCTCAATTGGAATCAGAGCCAAACCTGTGGCGGATTGAGGAACCGCCCAAGGAAGAAGGAGTGACATCTCCTTTGAGAGGACTTCTCATGACATATGTTGATGATATCTTTGTAGCAGCAGAAGAGGAGGTGTCGTCAGCAGTCATTGAGGCCATTCGTCAAAAATGGAAGACCAGCGAACCAGATGTCGTTGGAGAGAAGCCCATCAGATTTTTGGGCATGGAAGTGACCAAGGTGAAGAATCAGGAGACAGGCCGCGAGGAATGGTATGTCACCCAAGAATCGTTCATCAAAGATCTCCTTCAGAAAGATCCAGAGGAGACCAAGAAAAGAAAAATCCCCATTACACGGGATCAAAGTCTGATGCCAGCGGAGTTGGAGGAGAATAGAACACCAGAAGGCATCAGAGAGGCACAGAAAGCAGTCGGAGAAATGTTATGGCTGGTAACCAGGTCAAGACCAGACCTCATGTTTTCCACTGCTCGTATTGGAGCCAATGCCACCAAACATCCGTCACAAGTCATGGCCATATACCAGCAGCTCAAGGGGTATCTCAAAGCCACTGAGGATGAAGGTTTGGTTTTTTCCACTGATGGCCAAGGACCCATCATGATTGAGGCGCTGGCAGACGCTTCATTTTCACCAGATGGAGAAGAGAGCCACGGAGCTTTCCTCATTCAAGTAGGAGGCTGTCCTATTTTTTGGAGGTCAGGAAGGCAACAGCTTGTTGCACTGTCAACTGCCGAGGCGGAGATGATGGAGATTGTCCAAGGCATGTTAGCAGGTGAGTCAATTGCAGTGATAGCTGAAGAAGTTTTTCCTGAAGTGATCCGAAGAGTTTGGTCAGACAGTCAAGCGGCTATCTCCATTTTAACGAATGAGGGAGGGAACTGGCGTACTCGCCATTTGAGAATGAGGGCTGCAGCAGCCCGTCAATCAATTTCCAGAGGAGATTGGGCGTTGCAGCATCAAATGGGCGAATCCATGATTGCCGATGTTGGAACGAAGGCACTGGCATCACCAAGGTTGGAAAAGCTCAAAAGGGAAATGGGCATGAGGAAAAGACCAAAGGTTGAAGATCCCGAACTGGTCCGTGTTGAAGAGGGGTCGGCAGATAAGGGGCTGGCCCAAGCGCTTCCACGTGAGCGTCTCCACGAGGGAGTCCAGCCTGAAGGAGCAGGCGATACCTCGTGTGACCAAGGTTCAGGGGTCAAAGGAAAAGTGTCGGTTGAGTTGGCTGACACAGAGAAAGTGAGAAGAGCGATTCAGATCATCACCTTGGCAGCGATTGCGTCAGGAGCCAAGGGTCAAGACGAAGAAGAAGAGGAGAATTTCCAAGAATTTCATCAACTGATGGTCATTTTTGCTATTTTGGTGGTCTTGATCACCATTCTTTGTCAGCAGCTGTGGAAGATTGGTTTTGGGCCAAATGGGGGGCGTATGCAGACTGCAACACCCGTGGAGGGCTCAGCTACCAATTCAAATGAATCAAGCTCCGCTGCCAAAACGATAGAAGGAAAAGAAAAGAAAGGCTCCGCAACCAATACTGATCGAAGCTCAGAAGTGAGAACTCCAGTCGCTGTTGCGTCTGGTGCATCATCAAGTCAAGATCCTATTACGCCTGATGTCCATGGTCGAGTCTCGTCGGCTGGAGGAGAGCTGGTGAGCACACTCCCATGTGAGCCGACGCTCCGCTGCGATATGTTTCAGCGTGATCCATCAGGTGGGGGTGAAGAAAGTTCTGAGAGCGAATCATCATCGACGGAAGACAGTCTTGCCGACAGAATTGTGTCGGAAATTCATCAAATTGAACGAGAAGAAGGAGAATTGTGGAGAGAAATAAGGGGTCGGGCAGACCTCAGCAGGAGTGCTCTTCCAGAAGGGACAGATCCATCTTTTCAACTGCCTTTTCGTATCTTCACCACGCGATATGGTGTGGTTTACCATGTGTCGATGAACTGCAACTATGTGCGGGCACCGCAGACTGGATCAATCCGTGAGTCTGAGTGGTGCCATTTGTGTCGAGAAGTTGCTGAGAAAACGCGTGGAAGACCACCCCCAGGTGTTGAGATCATGTTGGCTGGTTGGGGAGGTCCTGCTCACACAAGTGATCAATGTCCGTTTAGCACTGGAAGCTCAGTTTTCAAAATGTGCACGATGTGCGACAGATTTCTGAGAGAAGGTAGGGCAGTTTGAGTATTGAGGTTGTGATCTCCTGACGAAGTCACAAAGGGGGAGTGCTAATAGACTCCTAAAGATCCAACCATGTCCAAACTTTCAAACGTATTCAAACATTGGCTTTTGCGGTATGAAATTCAGTTGATGTGCAGTTCGCATTTGCATACAGATCTTTTTGGAGTTCTGTGGTTTTTGCATGTCCAGACTTTCCAATGCAGCATTGACAGCTGCCCTTTTAGAGATCAAGCCACTGACGTGGCATCTGTGCGCTGAAAACGAGAGGCGCGTGAGGAGTGCACCTGCTTGTGGCCTGCTGGAAACCCCAGCAATTATAAACCAGGCGAATCATCCCACATCATCCCATATTAAAGAACACTATGTGTTTTCAGACCTGTCAATCGGAGCATCATCCAGTTGTGGTAGACCTAGTAAGAGACCTACCAGGAGTTCCCATTTGAGGATGGTTTTTTCGTGGCTTAAAATTGGCGAAGGCTTAGTGGGTTTACCACATTACATAGACGGGGTTTGAACATGTTGGAAGAACATTTTTTATGAAATGTGAAGCAAAGCAAAAGGTCTGAATATAGGCGTGAACATGAATTAGAAACAAAATTGAACCCACCAACCAAAAATGTACTTGACACTGCAATGGACTGCGATGGACTGTGTGGCCCTTGATGAGTATGTTGGGAACATCGACAAACCAACAAGAAAACACAATCTTCATGATGTTCAGAAATTGCCGGTTTCAATTTCAATTGCTACGCCCAAAAACAAGACAATACCTTCAAGTATCCTGTCTATGGAACCCATGAACAAGAACATCTTTGTCATATCCATTGGAATTTTGTACCACATTCCCCATGGGTTCAGCAACTGAGAAGGGCTAATCCTCTAACCTCAAGTCATCAGGTCCAGATTCCCTGGGATCCATCGAACTATAGACTTAGACCCTGCCATGACTTCGGATTCGAAGATTTTTTGTCCTCCAAAATATGGCAGTGTGTCAAAACCAATAGTACCCCTTTTTTGTTCACATCAAAATAGCTGGGATTTATGGATGTTCATCCCATTCAAAATGGATATTTTCATAGGTATTGATCCATAGCCATATCAATGGCTGAATTTGTCGTCTATGTTGGATGATTTGGATGGCGCACCCCAATCCATCAGCTCGGTTCCCCTGCCGAGTGAGCACATGCAATTTCGTCAAGTCTGGTTGAAGCCTCGGATGAACCACAAACGCCACGGGGAACCCTGGCACAACAAACAAACCATGGTTTTTGTGGAGGTCTCCAATTTTTAAGCAACACACTTTGACTATACATTACAATCATTACATTAACCGTTTGGATTTATACTATTCGACTTGATGATTTGTCCATTGTCATTTTAAAAAATTGAACGACTTACCGACTATGACAAGGAGGCCAGGCTAGGTTGGATACCTCAAACTCGAAAGTTTCTTCCGTTCCACCCATTTGTTTGGAAAGGAACGGCAACCTGGCAACCTGAAGGGTTGCCTGTGTCCAAACAATCTATCCCATCATTTTACCATATTTACCATAAAATGATGTTTTTGTGTTTTTCTACATATTATGATGTATACCATCTTATTATCCAAACAAACAAGAGGACAGCAATGGTGGTGGATTCTGTCTGAGGCATCCACGCACAAGTCGCTGAAACTTCTCCCGGCAATCCATGTTCGACAGGCACCTAGCATGTTGGTCGAACATTTTGAGTGCAAATGGCCGCTGTCAACATCAGCAATGGGGCGGTAAACCCTATAAAAATAAACCACCATGGATCTTCAAATGTTATATTATTAAACAAAAAAGATGGTTTTTGCCACCTAGTTTCATGATGTTTTACGTTGGATCACCAAAACACGTTTGACAATTTATTGTTGTTTCATTGTTCACCGTCAGGCTCTGTCAACGAGTTTTTACCAGCCATCCCGCCAAGTGGAATCATGACAAATTCGAGTGAAGCAGAGTTTGAATTGCCAGATCATGTGGAACAAGACCACAAAAGACTACGGCCTCAAAACCACACGTATTAACATACTAAAACTGGAAATCATCGCAAAGTGCTGCCAGTTTCTTTGCAAAACGCGATGCTATTACCAAACACTCATGCAAATCACTTCATCCCCTACCCACCACAGGGAAAAAACACATCCCAATGGCAAACTCACAACTCCCTGATTTGTTGGTCCGCCCTGCCCCCCCCCCCTGTTGTCCATGCCATCCAATAAGCTACAGCTACACCCACAGAATGCCCAACTTTGAAAAACGACATGCCCCACAAGTAGCTTACAAATCGTGGCCGAAAACAATAATCACCAGAAACTCCCCAAACTTTCGCCAGTCTCATTTAAGTGAAATCTGTCCGCTTTGGGGATTGCTGTTCCCCGGGGTCCAAAACAAGCCAACTGGTTATGTACTTCAGACCAAAAGATGATCAAGGGCCGAAGCAGCACCAGAAGAGGCAAACATTGGATTTGTAGCCATGCCCGGTGTGCTCAAACGTGGCTGACTGGGAAATCCTCAAACTAAATGCAGGTTTTAATTGATGGGAAAATCATCTATCAATGGGAGTATGCTTCACAACGCTGGCAAACATCTTACAAGAAGAAACATCTTACAATAAGACCATTTTCATCCATCCGTCCATTCATCTATCTTATCCATCTATTGATCGATCAACCATGATAACCTATATACATACACAAAATATTCCTATCTTATCCAACTACTTTCTGGTAATCAACCGTGGCTGGCTGGCAAATCCTTTGGGTGCGGAGATTTCTGGCTGGGAAAATCATAAATGGAGAATGTTCAATTGCTATGTTTGAATTACTGGAAGGCCACCCTGTCCCACCTGCAGCCCAACACGAGCCACAGCCGCTGCCGTCTCCATCTCCAACTCACAGGTCTTCGCCGGACCGATGGCCTGGAAGCTATGGGAATCTATTTCACGATGGACATACTGTACACTTTTCGTAAGACTATATCTGTATAATGACAATATATAACTCCCAATGGTAATGCTATATCCCAATCATCTATGGAAATAGTGATGTGATGATTGGAATATAGTATTCGACAATGGGAAAACATTTTTTATTACTGTGTAATACTTTATATATATAATAGTTAAAGGATGTTAAAGGAATCTAACCAACTATAACATGGGAATCTAACCAACACTGAGAATATATCCCAGTTATAATGTGTTTGTTCATTTTTGTCATGTTGTCCTATTTAGAGTCGAGAGAAACAACATGTATATATATATATATAATATATATATATGCTCTATGTGTGTGTGTGTGTCTGTGTGGAGGGTGCATCCCGCTTATTTCCACTTTGTCAATGTCATGTGCCCTCCAGCAATCTTACCTGTTCGTCTGAACATCCCCGTGTTCACGAGGTGAATGGTATGCGTATGTAGTCTTCGGCTCCTTTCAGTGGGTTCACGCCATATTTCAGGCATGTGCATCCATTCTTTCATGCAAAGGTTTTTCTTGTGAAACCCGAATTCTTGTGGTTTAAACCATTTAGAAAACCGCATTTTTGGACATATGTTTTTAGGGATTGCCGGGGGAATCTTTATGAATCTTTGTTTGGCCAGATCAATCCCATCCATGACCCCAGCCTGCAGAGTGGTGTTCACCAAGCAGTGAATGCCCATGTCCTACCAGCAGAAACTGTGAACAAATGCCATATGCCATAAATGCCATGGAGCAGAGTTCCAATCAAAAATCTAGTTTTGTGGGGAGACTTGGCTGGATGATTTTCAATTTTTGAATTTTTGTTTCATACATATAAATATATATATATATACATGCATATATACATATAATATGATAAATAAGTTAAATATACCTATGTTTCCAGAATTACATAGGCTTGGGGAACATCTCTGCATGAATGCTGAGACTTCGCCGTAGCCGGTTTTTCTGAGCGGTCGAACGGTTTGAAGGTGGTCGATAAATATCGATTGTAAGCCTTCTAGGAAACTCAATTTCCATGGATGAATTCCATTTTCTTCTTAAAAAAGTAAGTACATCTACCCTCCAGTAAACTCACATAGCTATCTGCAGCCAATGGGGATGATTCCCATGAGTAAACCATGATTCCGAACGGGAAACCCCATGAATTTCCCGCAAAATTCGTCCGCTCCAGTTGAAGGGTGAAGGCCATCTGGTGCGGATCCGCCGAGCCGTCGACCAGCTGAAATTCTTCCAGCTCTAAACCTGTGGGGAAGACAAAAACATGGAGTTTCACTTGGGATTCAACTTGATTTTATCAAGAAAATGAGGAATTCGCTAAACTAAACAAACATCAACAAACATCACTGGCAAAGAATTTAGCGATCATAGAAATACTTCAGAAGATCGCAATCATAGAACTACAAGAAGAAGGGTTTAAGTTAAGATGGTTTGGATATCAAGATCGATACAATCGCGACCCCCTTTTTGGATCATTTTGGATGGTGAAATCCACCAGTTCTTATCCATTGTTGCTTGTTGACATGTATGGGCAAATTGGAGATAGAACTTGCCAACAATTTGGAATATTATACCGAGACATATGTATATATATATAATTAATGCATATAGACTTAGATCTAAATAATAAATAAATAAATGTATATATATATTGTATGTCACCAACAATATTGAGGACTTCAACCAAGCTGATGCTTTTTGTGGGTTCCAGCCGCACCAAAACGGGACCATAAGGACTACACATGCGACTAATTGACCGAGAATAGCTAGTGTTTCAACCAATGTGATCTGGTTTACATATGTCCTTGATGTCCTTATAATTAGCATATACACAGTATATGTATATATGCACATACATATAAATATATGTTCATATATATATATAAATATATATATATATAAGTATGTGTATATAATATATACATATATGATATTATGCATAAATATTATATTATCATCTTGGGGGTTCAAGATGATGCGAACATCCAAAACAAAGACATCATAGCGTTTCAAACCAACCGTGAACATCATATGTTGCTGCCTTCATTTGTTGAAAATATCTTCCATGGATGCCTATTGATATCCCCACAAAAAATGGATGGTTGCGATGTGGATTTTTCCGGGCAGTACTACGAAATCAGAAGAGACATTGCGATGAAGGGGGCACATGACCCAACATTTTCACCACGTTTTCCGGGCAACAAACACCGGTTTGCACGCAAAAAAATAGGCATGAGAGCAGCTGCAACATAACTTAGGTCTGCGAGTCAACAATGGTTTCAGATCCGAAGTAAGAATCAACAGTGCAAGTCGTTGCTTTTCTTTTGTGGGGTAATGAAGCTTCACTGAGTGAAAGTGCGACTTCTTTGTTTCTGCATTTCCATGGGTCAGTTCTGAGAGCGCGGAGAATTCCAGGAACCATTTCCACAGGTGAGCAGTGTTCAAAACTCTCTGTCATTCCATTATTTTGCCAGGTGAATATATAATAATATATAGAGGTGCCATGAGGTGCCCAGTTCATGCATGATAATCCATGATAATCCGCCCATAAAATCATATAAAATCCTGTAGATACACCGATTAATTCATGATAACACTCAATATATTGGGTAGTACAATCCCCCAATTGCCCATCAAACCTTTCCAGGTTTGGCACCTCGACATCTGCCACCAGTGATGTTCAGCGCCACGCCCAGCTTTGAGAGAGCCTGAGGTGGCACAACATGTTTACCAACGATCATTGGAGTATGTATATATATATATTATATATATGGTTATCAGCCAATTTTCAAATATTTTCAAACAGATGTCAATACATAGATGGAATTTTCAAATAGAAGGTTATCAATTATCAGCTAATGTTTAGCAGCTCCTGATTCAAATACATGGGAATGAGATGACATACTGAGATATAATCTAAAAGTAGGGATGTAATGGATTTTTTCATGGGGGCAACTATCTAATATAATACAATCATCATCGGGGTATACTGGGATGATAATGGGATGATAATGGGATGATAATGGGATGATAATGGATATAACGGGATATACTGGGATATAATGTGATGTAATGGAGATATTGTGGGATATGTTGATATATAACTATATAGATATATGAGAAAGACAACACACAACCATGATACTAGTATAGTATGAGTATGCTGGTTGGGTGAAATGGGAGACACCCAAAAAAATGCATTTAGTTAGGGAAAAATAAGACAATGATGATCAACCATGGGATTTGAGGATGCCCAAATTTCAGACAAAGCCATATCTGCCGGCATGAATAGTGCGCAGACGGAGATGCAAGACAAGATGCATGATATGCACATTCCCCACAACACAATCTGAGAGAATCAAATAAACACTGTCTCCCTCCCTCTCTCTAGAGATATATTACAACCCCCCAAACAATAGAACAGTAAAATCCTACCAAAACATAGCGGTAAGTGACTCTGCTTTCTTTTTTAAGGTTACAACACAGCATGACTTTACAGAGATCCAAATCCTACACCAGGCCCTCGCACTTGCGAAATCTCGAAGTTTGGGACAGAGATCTGGCGGCTCAACATGCAGAACCGGGGCATCTGGCGATCCAAACGTTGGGTCTTGTAACCACTTGCTCTGTGGGACCATGAAGAAAACAAAGTACAGTACTTTACCCCGATTTTCCCGATTAAACATTAAAATTGTGGGCTATACCATGGTATACCCCGTTTCTGGACAAGCCCCAAATCCAAGGACAGGATGGCTATTGTATTTTGGAGCACTGAAACATCAGAATAAACACATGGAGGACCTGAAACTTTTGCCAAGCTTTAAACCAATATATAAGTTGCTTCACCATGGCTTTCATCATGGTGTTGATAGAAGAAGTCCCACTGTATCCCGCTATTCAATGCTATTTATATTACAAACATTTACAAACCAACATCAGTTACAACATTCTATAAATTATTATATCCTGGTAAATCTCAAACAAATAACTTGAGAAAGATCAAGCTAGACTTGGATGTGGCTCACTGCCATCTGCACATATCTGCACCCTCCCCAAGTCATCATTAGTCCACCATGTCCACCAGTTTTATGGGATTTCAACCATCCCCAGACACGGTAGCTTTATGGCATAGGCTCCCATTTACCGAGCGGTTGACGCACAACGCCTGCAGTCCCCGAAGCCACTGGCGCAGCAGCACCGCCTGCGATGGCGCGGGTGAGGGGATTACGTTCGAATGGGTAACATTCGAATAGAAACCGTAACATAAAAGTGAGATACCCAAATTTCAGCCGCATTTTACTTGTTCATACTTTAGACAATTCTGAAGGATATTTTTGGGAGTTGCTATGAGTTGCTACGAGTAGAATGGACTTATGGATTGCCTTGCTTTACCAGCATTTACCCTCAAAATGAAGGGAACAAGCCACTTCTGGAGCAAAATTCTTTCCACAGGGCCAGCTGGCTCCAATATCTCCAATTGTGGGATCTGGGCCGGTTTCTGGTGGCAATCCATACCACATGAATTCGTCAACGGGGATCATGATCCTGTTTCTTGCATTGGAACGTGTTCAAAACAATGCACCCAAGAACCGTTTGTGCGCTCTTGTTGCATCCCACCCTCCTGATCCCCACTTTGTTCATGACATGTTCCCTACAGAAATCAGAAATGCGGGTGCCCATCTGAAGTTCACCCCTACCATGTCGATCCATGTCGGACAAGAGCTTCCCGCGGTCGAAATGAACACTGTTTTCACACGCCCCATTTGTCTCCGCCAGGCGGTGCTTTGCCCGTCTCCTCAGGTTCGAGTTGGTCGTCAGATGTTGGTAGAATTCTTCCGGGTGAGGAACATGATTTCCTATGTGACATCTATGATTCCCTCTTCTCAGTGCTGGATTTGCATGGATTTTCCGATATTTTCCGATATGATCCTATACTCATGGTGTTCATGCTGGGTTTCCTGCATCAAACTGTGCATCGATGACAACAACATGACTCCCATGCCATATCATCTGCCACCCGCGTTTTATGAACCCTACACTACACTACATTCCGAATAATGGTAGAAATGGACCTGCTTTAGTGTACAGTAATTGGATGCAAACAGTTTGATCAAATATTTGAGCATATTATACTTCTCTCTAGATCTATCATGTAGCGACCTTCCTATCCTATCCTACCGACCGACCTACCTACCTACATCTACCGCAGTATCTGTCTCTCCCTCTCCAATCTGTCTATACATACATATATATATATAATTATATATATATATATTATATCATATATTCTATGTAAGTTTGCGGATTCTCATCCCGGACCATTCAACCGATTAACCCAACCATCCACTTCCATTATCATCCATGATCATCCAAAGTGTAGACCTGCAAATGAAGTTCCTACCAAAAATATTCAACAAGCAAATGAAACATGTTGGAGCCATTATGCGTTGTTCTTTTGTGCCCCACCATCCACTGCCAGAACTTGAGTACACCTTGGTCGGATAGGTTGCTGGATCTTTTGTTTCTGCCATAAGCAAAAACATACTCCATCAAATTATGTATATACATATATATTACACATACATATGTATTTATATGTATTCACATGTATTCATATGAATTCATATGAATTCATATGAATTCATGACTTGCGAGAAGAAGGAAAGCACGCAATTCTATGCCATCATCCTTCAAGCCTCCAAACCCCAACCAGGTACCACCCAATCAGTGGCATCACCCAAAAGAAACAAATCCCATCAACTCCTTCAAACCAACCACCATTCCACCCATCCAATTCTCATTATGGCAAGAGATTAAGTACATATCATAGCAACCTAGAAGCATACACTAATGAACCATGACCAGTTTCACATCATGAACATCCACTAAGTCACTACAAGGTGGTGCCCCCCAGTTCCAATTGAATGTTAATGTGGTGGAGTCCAATGTGGTGGTGAAACCCCGCCGGAAAATTCCAGGAAATATCCCAAAATTTCTTAAAAATGCAATCGCTTGCATATTTCTTCTTTGCATGAACCTTTTTTTTTGGACGCATGAACAACTTGCTTCGAAGTGAGGTATCCTCTTGTCAGGGTGACCTCTGCAAAGATTCCCCACCTGGTTGACTATGTAATTCCCAAGGACGAGCGCAATTTTTGGGCTTCATGTAGTGGTAATGGTAATTATATCATCATTGTGGCATTTGTTTTTCCTACAATAACCCATAATCCGATTCCTGTATCAATTGGAATGATACTTCATGCCATCTGCTATGTGTGCATGCCGCTTGCGCATCACAAAAAAAAGGAACTTCTGGGATGGAAATCAAGCAACTTGGAAGCTGATAGACTGAGATTGGAAAATCTTATTTTTAGCTGATCGTTATTGGACAAAGGGAGTCCAAGCATGTGAGTTACAAGAAGTTTTTGTGATAAATAGATAGACCTTTGCTTTCCTCCCCGTCAAAAGACACTTTTTTGCTCTCTCAGTGCCTTTTTGTAGTGCTTTGAGACTGCTACCCGGCTGCACTAATCTATCAAGGCTGGTGGCTGGTAGGGGCTAAATGTTGCATACTGACAAGCTATTTCTGTTGTTTCCGTGGTTTCCTGCAAGGCAAGGCTAAAACTAGCCGAGTTGCATCATGTTATGAGATTAGCATAATACTGTATTATCCCGAATCTCTGTTTGAAAGTGGCTATGGAGAAACCAAATAGTCAGTTTCATAAGGAACTTGTGACCTTGAATAATTCTGTAGATTTTTGAAAACAACAGGGTTCATTCGATGGATTTCCGTTTCGACTATTGCTATTCGAAATTTTGCCTCTCTCCCTCACTGCTAATCTGTGTTGCCCTGCAAAAACCTTCTATATACAGAAAAAGGAACTTCCAGCCACATGACCTCTCTGAGAAAAATGCAGTGAACTGTTTCCACAGTGCACATCAGTGAATGTCACAGGCGACAGACTCGTGGTCAAATGCGAATCCTTTTGTCATCGGTTCTTTATCAGCAATAAAAAATCTGGCTTGGAATGCTTAGAATGGGACTTCAAAGCTGTTAGTTACAGTTGGTTCATAAGTTGCCAGAAGCTGTCACATTTCAGCGAAATTGGCGCAATCAGATGATTCATCCATCTGCTCCAGCGCCTTAGTGCTCAGTCTCGGGATTTCTATCGACCTTTGATATCAAATCAAGAATCAGTTTTCTGTTGATGTTCTCAGCTAGTTTATGGATAAGTAAGATGGAGCGGCAAAATTCCAGAGCATGGCAGTTATTTTTTTTATTTCTCCGACATGGCGCATATAATACTCATTTTTCCTAGTTGATCACAAGATGTTGAGACAGCTTCAAGTGCAAGGAATCTAAGCTTCTCATCAGGCCGCCCCTGCTTGGGCCCACTATGGTGACCTTTTTTTTGGAAAACCCATGTGCTCATTTCATGTCATTGCATATTGACCTATTGCTTGATATGTTTACGATATTTTCTAGCATCACCGCACAAGGCGGTCGCGGAAGCGTAAAAAATAGAAAACCTATAGGAGAGGTTAGTTGTTGTGAATCACGGATGGCACAGCGAAGCACTGATGCCTCGACAGGTGGTGATACTTGGAGTTGTGTTGTCTGCTGCATGTAGTGTGGTGTAGTGCAGTTGTAGTTGTAATTGCATTTGTAGCTGTAGCTGCAGTGTCGTGGAGTTGTCGCTGAGATGTAGTATAATTTGTGTATTCGCAGGAGTCATTGCAGTTGGAGTCGTCTTGTGGTGTAATAGAGTAGCGTAATGCAGCGTAATGTCGTGTATTGTTGTGTCGTATAGTGTGGTATAGCGTTTCGTAGTCTACTGTGACGTCGTGTAGTGTTGTGTTGTGTGATGCAGTGGTAGTTGTAGTTGCATCTGCAGCTGCAGCTGCTGTTGTAGTGTAATGCAATGTAATCTATGTAGTGTAGTGTTGTGGAATGTAGTTGTGTTTGTAGTTGTAGTGTGCTGCAGTGTACTTGTTGTTGTGTAGTCTAGTGCAGTTGTAACTGTAGTTGTAGTTGTGCTAGTAGCTGTTGTTGCAGTTGTAAGTGTAATTGGTGTAGGGTAGTGTAATTAGGTGCTACGTAGTGTATTGTCGGGAAAGTAGTGTACTGTAATGTAGGGTAGTATATTTGTAGTTGATGTTGATTGAAATTGGTCTAGAGCCGTGGTAGTTGTACAAGTTGTAGTTGTAAATCTCTATAGAACTATCTACCTGTCAATGTGTTTATCTATCTGTCTTTCTTATTGTATCTATCTATCTTTCTTTCTTTCTTTTTCTCCATCTTTCTTACCTTATCTTATCTTATGTTATCTTATCTATTTCTGTTTCTCTCTCTTTATTTCTCTTTCGGTCTGGCTATCTATCTGTGTATCTGCAAGCCGGAAAACGAAGCTATGCTGCGAGACTTCCACAGTTTTTTAACTTGAAAACATCAAAAACGCAGCGATTAAGCGAAACTGTGTCTATTCGTGAACTTGACGGATGCCGTAGAGTGGTCCGAACTCCTCTATTTTTTTGCACTTTCGACTTCGAAATGTCCTCCGCTTCCTTGGAAGAATATTTTTTGATTCTATGTGAATATACTAAAACCAAAATTATCCTGGGATGCGCCCAGATCCTTGCTTCGAAAGGTTTCAATCCCTCTTACCCCCTTGTAACTACCAAGTAGCCGGCACTTGGCACCACGACCAAAACAAAATAAAATGACGCTCAGATTTTGAAATTGGACTCCTTTTTGTTGGAGATGTGCTTTTGTCGACAAGGCGCAACCACCCTGCATCAAACCAAGCACCTTCCAGCGCGTGTCATCCGGGAGCGTTCGCTTGCACCATTCGAAAGCACTCCTGATTGTTTTTGAAAATTTACTGAGGTTTTGCGAAGGTCGTCTAAGGCTTAGCTATATGATCTTAGTTAGGCTGAGGGTGAGCAGGGAAACACGATCGTCCTCGAACGATCTGGATTCACTCGCCCACGGCAGAAGGTGTTTCGAAAAGCTACGGTTGGTGCTGCTCAATTCTTAGTCAAATTTCGTGAGGCCTACAGAATGTGCATTTGGAAAGTATTAGTGACGGTGCCACTGCCCACAGCTCCTTTAATCACATGGAAACAGTCTTATTACGACCATGTTGGCTGAAGTCCCCTTCGCGCACAGAAGCACAAGAGCTTTATGAAGAAAGAGAAACAAGAATGTGCGGATGGTACTGCTAGACATTTTCTGACATTCATCATGCCGGTTCTATTGTGGCCCAGAGGCTTCCGGAATCGTCCCTTCATCAATGCTTTCCAGCATCGTCTGTCGGCAATCTAGTCGGCCAGTCAAAGCCTTCATCACATCATCTCCTGGGCCCTTCCAGCAGCTGCAAGAACCAGCAAGAAGACTTCGAAGAACCTCAGGATCATGAAGACAGCGAAAATGCGCTGGAAAGATCAACGATTGGTGACGGTGAAACCTTGGCAGCGCTATTTTTGATGCTGCGTCACGGCACAACTGGATAAATATAGATCAATCATGTTTTTTCTTAATGGGCGATTTCTTGTCGAGATTCTAGACATCATTCTTCATGTTTGAGGGGGTCATCTGCATGTGCATTTACATATAAAACATAAAGTCTTGTATACGTACTTACAAGAGGATGCTATGCTCACCCCCCACTTGAAACAGATCCCACCTCAATGCAAGGTTCTCTCCAACACAGTTGCCACGAAGTAGTCCTTCAGCGCGCGGATCACAAAGTGATCAGCAATTGCAAATTATAAAGATTGTGGCCGTGCCTTTCACTGCAAAGATAAAGGTAATGAAAAACCATGCGCCCTGTCAACGTCATATGCATATATACGTACACATGTCCAGAAAACCGTATATAAATTAATTAATTAATGAATTAAACTATCTGTATATATATATAACACCTGTGTCCCTGCGGACTGATTGCTGTGAAGGCAGCAAGCCTGTGTAGCCTTTCTGCCAAACATAAATTTGGAAAAGCCTCCGGCCCCTAGCCATCAACCACGTGCAAAGTCTCACGCAAAGCTGAGTGCGCATGGCATGTGTCTATGTCTGTGTGTGCAAAGCCTTGAACCAAAGGGCAAGGGCATTAAAAAAAACAGGGGGGCAGTGGACGCACAGATGGCACGGGCCAACGCAGAACCATCTACTAAGTGGTCGTGCAAGCCACCATGACATGACATGACATGCCATGACTACAGAAGATGAAAATCACCTCATCTCATCGCATCTCACGTTCTCCCCTCGGGGCGTTCCCAGGTGTCTGTCCTTTCCTGTCTCCTCACATCTTTTTGTATAACTCAAACCGGCTTCAAGGCTCCATGCACGAATAACGCTGTGACTTTCGGCACACCATGAAGCATCACAGCTTGATCGGTCAAATCTGGCCCAAGACAGGTGAAGAAGCGTAAATTACTCCCTGCACGTCTCCTGCCGTCGCAATTCGCTCACTCCGACAAGCCAACTCCCTGCATTCGGCACAACTCCTTCACCGAACATTGAGTGCTCGTAGCAACTGACTCCTGGCACGTCACCAGCGCCAAAGCTGGCTCAAGACATGATAAGAAATATGGCCGTGCTACCAACAGGTATATGCTGGAACCACACCAGTCTCGGTCAAATCTGGATCAAGACTGGCTGCGAGGTATGGGGATAGTATCAGAAGGTATGCTAGAATCACAGCAGTCTCGGTCAAATGCGACTATTGGCATACTACCAGCAGGCATGCTAGAATCACAACACCTTTGGTCAAATCTGGATCAAGACTGGGAGAGGTATGGGGATGAGGATATGCTAGAATCACAACAGTCTCGGTCAAATCTGGATCGAAACTGGCTGAGAGGTATGGGGACAGTATCAGAAGGTATGCTAGAATCACCGCAGTCTCGGTCAAATCTGGATCAAAACTGGCTGGGAAGTATTGGCATACTACCAGCAGGAATGCTAGAATCACAGCTGTCTTGGTCAAGTCTGGTTCAAGACCGCCTAGGAAGTATTGGCATACTACCAGCGGGTATGCTAGAATCACAGCAGTCTCAGTCACATCTGGCTGAGAAGTATTGGCATACTACCAGCAGGTATGCTATATATAGAATCACAGCACCTGCCGTTAAATCTGGATCAAGACTGGCTGAGACGTATGATCATATCAGAAGTATCGGTCAAATCTGGATCAAAACTGGCTGGGAAGTACCAGCAGACTACCAGCAGGTATGCTAGAATCACAGCATTATCGGCCAAATCTGGATCAAGACTTGCTAAGGGGTATGGGGATAGTATCAGATAGTAGGGCTGAATCACAGCAGTCTCGGTCAAATCTGGATCAAAACTGGCTGAGAGGTATGGGGATAGTATCAAGAAGGTATGCTAGAAACACAGCAGTCTCGGTCAAATCTGGATCAAAACTGACTGAGAGGTATGGGAAGAGTATCAGAATCTTCAGGTATGCTAGACACACAGCAGTCTCGGTCACATCTGGATCAGGACTGACTGAGAGGTATGGGGATAGTACCAGAAAGTACGCCTGAATCACGCAAGTCTCGGTCAAATGTGGATCAAAACTGGCTAAGAGGTATGGGGATAGTATCAGAAGGTATGCCAGAAACACAGCAGTGTCGGTCAAATCTGGATCAAAACTGGCTCACAGGTATGGAGATAGTATGCTAGAATCACAGCAGTCTCAGTCAAATCTGGATCAAAACTAGCTGGGAAGTATTAGCATACTACTAGCAGGTATGCTAGAATCACAACACCTTCGGTTAAATCTGGATCAAGACTGGCTGAGAGGTATGAGGATAGTATCAGAAGGTATGCTAGATTTAAGCTGTCTCGGTCAAATCTGGATCAAAACTAGCTGGGAAGTATTGGCATACTACCAGCAGGTATGCTAGAATCACAACACCTTCGCTCAAATCTGGATCAAGACTGGATGAGAGGTATGGGGGTAGTACTACACGGTATACTAGAATCACAGCAGTCTCGGTCAAATCTGGATCAAGACTGGGTGACAAGTATTGGCATACTACCAGCGAGTATGCTAGATTTGGGCTGTTTCGGTGAAATCTGGACCAAAACTGGCTGGGAAGTATTGGCATACTACCAGCAGGTATGCTAGAATCACAAGACCTTCGGTCAAATCTGGATCAAGACTGTCTGAGAGAGGTATGCGGATAGTAGCAGTAAGGTATGCTAGAATCACAGCGGTTTCGGTCAAATCTGGATCAAGACTGGGTGAGAAGTATTGGCATACTACCAGCAAGTTATGTAGAATCACAGCCGTCTCGGTCAAATCTGGATCAAAACTGGCTGAGAGGTATGGGGATAGTATCAAGAAGGTATGCTGGAAACACAACATCTTCGGTCAAACCTGGATCAAGACTGGCTGAGAGATATATGAGGATAGTATCAGTATGCATGAATCGCAGCAGTGTCGGTCAAATCTGGATACAGACTGGCTGAGAGGTATGGGGATAGTAACAGTATGCCTGAATCGCAGCAGCGTCGGTCAAATCTGGATCAAAACTGGCTGCGAGGCATGAGGATAGTATCAGAAGGTATGCTAGAATCACAGCAGTCTCAGTCAAATCTGGATCAAGACTGGCTGGGAAGTATTGGCATACTACCAGCAGTTATTCTAGAATCACAACACCTTCTGTCAAATCTGGATCAAGACTGGCTGAGAGGTATGGGGATCAGAAGGTATGCTAGAATCACAGCAGTCTCCGTCAAATCTGGATCAAAACTAGCTGGGAAGTATTAGCATACTACTAGCAGGTATGCTAGAATCACAACACCTTCGGTTAAATCTGGATCAAGACTGGCTGAGAGGTATGAGGATTTCACGGATCAAAACCGTGAAAAGCCACCAAACACACGCCTGAAATTTACTCATTTTTTGGAGTATGTTGTAATCTTTTCACTGGTTTTTCATTGATATCTCTGGAACCATTGGTCATTTCAAGCAGTCCTGGCACTTACAGACTTGAAATTAGTTGATGAGCAGCTGTTGTTACTGAGGCTGTAAAGTGTATGTGGGGCTTGGCGAGTTTCCCCTTATATATATGTCAACATATACCCCAAGATTCCCAAGATCAAATAAACCAACAATGTCAAGTAATCTATAATATATGCGTCGTTTTTGGTTGACAGTAGTACGGCCCGGCACTGCATTGAATCCAGACTAGATGCCCATGGATCTTGCCAATCCAGTCTGGCAGAGGGAACCCTTCCATGGCCCGAGAGTCGACGAGTCGGAGCAAGTTGCTAATGAAGTTGATTGTTGGTGCGTGTTTGTTTTTCGGAATTGCTTTACAACAAAGTACATCAATTGGCTTTACGTGATTCTTTGCAGCGAGGTGCTCCAAATCAAAACATGGTATCCTTTCCGCACATGTTGAAGAGATGAGTATGTCTCAAACCAATTTCAAAAACATACTGCATCCTCGTCTCAGTGCCGTAGCCTAACCTAATGTGAAAGGAAACGGCCATGTCACGGCATGCACCTGTTTTACAACATATCAGACATGGAAAACATTTGAATGCCGGAAAGTTTCTGGAATTTTGTGGGGAAATCAGAGAATTTAAGAACTCCTTTGCCGCCACTTTGGTTTCCGCCGCTAAAGCAATCAAATGACAGTTATAAGTTGGTTTATAAACCATTGTAAGTATAGATATACCTACCATAAACCATAGTTATTGGAGTTATAAACCAACTTAGCTAACTATGGGGCACCACCTTGTAAGTGTTACCCATCCAACACCCCACGATCCAACCCGATCCGCCACGCATCCGCGTCTAAAAAGGACTCCAGCGCCGTCTTCCGTCGCCCCAACTGGCTGCGCGACGCCATCTCCGCGCGCACCGCGCGGCTCTCGTCGTCGTCCGGGTCCAGGGTGTTCTCCTCCTCGGCGGGTGCCAGGGGGCAGCCCCGCAGTCCCCAGAACCGCCGGAAAAGCACTTGGTGATCGAAAATTCATGGGAAAAAAACATGAGGCTTTTGATTTCAAGGGTTTCCCGTGGGAAAAAACGATAAATCATTTATCCAAGTGGATGTAACATGGGGGTTTTGAAGGACAGCCCGGTTAACTGGTCCCCAAAGTCATCAATTCCCGGGAAATACTGTATGTTTTCCATTTTTTTCCATGAAAATGACAGCACGAAAGCTGCAAAGCGTAAAGGGAGCTGGGCGCACCAACAAATTGACAAAACTACTCCATCAACAATAGGTTCCCTCAGTCGTTTCTCAGCACATGTTTTTCCTTGCACAGGCCTGTGGAAGTTATTGGAGCTGGGGGAGGGGGTGGGATGTAAATTTCCGTGGAATCAACTACAGCCCATAAACGGATATAAACGGTGCTGCAAGTTCGACAAAGAAGATCATTATTGTCCAAGATTTGATGCTGATGCTTCTGGTTAAGAAGGCAGCTGACTGGTTTCAACGCTTCCCAGGGAAATCTTCAAGCCTTCCCACAATGGCCAGGGGACCAATACAAACTTCTCCCAAACCTCTGCATTCTCAGGCTTGCCAGCAATGAAGTCGCCTCGCTGGCTAGTCACTGATGGAAAAGGAACTCGGAAACGCCTAGAATGTGTGGCCACTATCATAAGATTCATAAGACCATCTGGCCATACATCATTTATCCTCATTCCACGCGTTCTCTTTCTGATATTTGGTCCACACTCCTGGCCTCCAGGCTTTCGTGTTTTCACTTGCATGATTTGTGAAAGCAACATGCTTGAACTTGCCAAACAAATCCAGACAGTAGATGATGCAGAAACGACTTAAAGTACCATTCCTCACTCATCACATTCCTGACAACAACCCACAAATCCCCAAGTATCCCAAGTATATCCAAGTATTCTATAGACTGTCAGGGACGCGGTCGCCCGTCACGGATCCGCTCAGTGACTCACTTGAGTGGCCAACTTGGACTGTTCAGCCTCCAGCTGCTTTTCACTCTTGACCTTAGCCAAAAGGGATCAAGGGGCGAGATAAATGGAACAGCTGAAATCCACGTCCTTTTTTTTAAATTATGAGAGGAGTCAACCATACCAACAAGGTGTCATCTGCTATGATTGCTTTGATCCGCTCCTTCAATCTTCAACCATGCCAATATGGACAAACATGCAGAACTCATCTTCCCCTCTGCCACTGACTGCCACCCACCCGAGGGTGCCCCAGTCTTCGATATGCCAAGGAGCGATGCCAAAGCGATTTGAATCCATGAAGCCTCCGAACTCCATCTCATCCTCTGGGATCTGTGGATACTTTGGTTTGCTCCATGATGCTCTATAGTAGATAGCCCACCCGGGAGATGTGAAATTCAGCGAAGTTTGGAATGGCATTCTTCCACAGACTCCGTTTTCCGTGTCATCTCAGGTGATTGACTGCACGGCTTTGCACCAGAGGTCATTCACAGATTGGTAGCATCCATGAGCAGACTTTTCCCGTTTTACTCAGGACGGTGATTAATTGCTGCTGTAGTCTTTGTCAGCGATTTTAGGGTTGGACGTCTTCAATGTTAGTTTCCACTTCACTCAGCATTTCAGTGTCCTCATCCGCGTCCACCCGCAGTGATGGAAGCTTCGCATGTGAGGTGAAGCCTGAAACTGGAAGACACGCCAAGACCCACAGATTGCAGTTGCTGAACCTGCTTCCAAGCAGCTCTTCAAAAAATCGGTCTTGTAGTTCTCCGGCATCAAGATGAAGCCTTGCACCTCATCTTGCTGAAGCAGATCTTGTTACAACGTGACACGGGAGTCAACAGCCCCGGACATTTGCCTATCTTTCAGTGGGATGATGCGGGCGATGCCCATGTCCTATCGCACTAGTGAGGAGTCAACAATACTTGACTGACTCCTCAATACTGTTGTGTCGCTGAGAACAATTGTTAGCTCCCTACCTGGTCCGCCGGCATTGACGTGTCGGTGAAGCCTGTATCCTTGCAATACCTGCGAGAGCAGGGCTGGGTTGACCCCTATTGATAGGCTAAAACTACAAACACAGTGGTGGTTCCAGCAACCAATCCAGCAGATGGTGTTGGGAAGGTCATGGTTGTACAACTTGATCAACTCGTTATTTTATGGGTATGTTTTTTGAATGGCGGTTTATCTTGTCTATCGTAGGGCACGATGATATATCAAACCTGGGAAATTAACCAGCAAACTTGATCATTCACCATCAAAATCGGGGAACCAACAGAAAAACATAATATTCAATGGATCAATGGTTTGGTTTGGAGGAAAATCTATCCACAGGAAATTGGCAAAATTGCCCCCGAATATGGGAGCTTCCCAAGCCAACAAAGAATAAGAATCTTTCCATGGGATAAAGTAGGCAAAAAGAGAGCCCGAGAGAGAGAGAGAGAAAAAAAAAGAAATTGAAAGAAATTGAAAAATAGAAATAAAATAAACCATACAAAACCATACAAAACCCAACAAACGGCCAGCTCAAACGATAGAGAGCTGGAGAGTTCCAGTGGAACATTGACTGTTCCACAGTTCCAGTGGAACGAGGCCCAGTATCCCCCACATGTCCAAGGTCCAAGGTAGATCACTTGGGAAGACTACCCGGCCTGGTAAACCATACAAAAAGCTATTGAAAATGGCCCAGTCGAAATAGTGGATTTTCCCAGCTAATAGCATGGTGGATCTTTCCAGTTCGCTATGTAACAAATTACCAGTGGAGCCTCCCAAGACGAACTTTCGGCGAGTCAAGCCATTCCAGCTGTCAGCGGGGAAGGTCAAAAATAGCCAGGTCTGTTTGAATCACCTGCCTGTGAAATGTTCATTCAAGACAAACCCATGCAAATTAGTATTATATAAGTAGTTCTAAGCCAATCCTCGGTTGAGTGCCGGGGCATCAACACTGATAACTTTGATAGCTCTTCGATGAACTGGGACATATCCAAACCGTTTATACATCGGTCACCATGGCAAATGTCGCTAATGGCTGCATGAACATAGCCCACTAGCTGTTTCATCCATTTTCAGAATACTTGGCATTGAGCAGTACCCTCTGGTAATTTAACATAGCTATTGAAAATGGCCATTTATAGTGAGTTTTCCCATTAAAAATGGTGATTTTCAATAGCTATGTTAAATTACCAGAGGGTACAAACTTCTACGTGCTCTTATTATATCCATCTTTGGGCCTCATGAGAAGTCACAAACATCCAACTAACACAACCACCCACGGCCATGGCCCAAAAACGCATCCAAGCAACTCTTTCCATCGCCCGTCAGCTTTGTTCCATTTCCTCAAAGCATTCAGTATCTTCAGCTGGCTGTAGCTGGCCTCAGCAGGAAAACTTGGAGTCTCCAAACTACTTGAGGATACTGTGGGAGTATCCCCAACCGCCTCAGCTGATGTGGTAGACTTTGATAAGACAGGAGAAAAAAGAACTAGTAAGGTAGATGTAGGTGTGGTTTCTTATTAGATCTCCTCTGCCTCCAACTAACATAGATTCTGCCAAATAGATCTGAATAGGGGGAAGACTACTTTAGGGATCCCCAATTCTTAGGGGGTGGGAAGATGGTACATCAACTTTCATCAACTTCGCGAATCCTTCGAGTCGCTGTCGCCACCTTTCCCTTCGGGGCATCTTCTTCCTCCGGCTTGGCGAAAAAATCGAAGAAGCCCAGGCCGGGCAACGACAGCAGGGACAGCCACAGCACGGCACCCAGACGCCGTCGTGCCATGGCGCTGACAGCTGGAAGTTGATCACCCGTTCATCCCATGATTTCCAGAATGCCAATTACCCTCTGGTAATTTAACATAGCTATTGAAAATGGCCATAGAAATAGTGGATTTACCAATTGAACATGGTGATTTTCCATAGTTTTTTGTATGTTTACCAGAGGGTATGATGCAAAAAACCCAGGTGAGATCACCAGGATCCAAGCAGGGACCGCAATGTGGCATCATTCATCTGTGAGTCCAAACAGCCAACGTGTATATACACACATTGCACGCACCAACATTTGTCCTATATACTATTATATATTGTTATTCTATATATATATATAACGTAGATACATATATATATATATGTATATGCTACATTCATGATATGATGTAAACAACATACAGCAACTATCAGTCAGGAACTTACAACGGGAATAGACATAATAGAATTGACACGTGTCATGCCATCCGTGTCCCCAGGACTGCCTCTGAAGGGCAAGATGCACATAACAGTAGCAGACCTCGGGATACAGTTCGGCCTGCTCTCTGCTGCAAGCAATGCCTTAATCAAACGATCTTGGAATCTCAAGCACTCTCCAATTTGACCATCAATTGATGGTTTGTAACCTTCCCAAGAATTGCATTCTAAGTATATATTGTTGGTGATCTCCCCAATTTGACTGCAGTTGTGTCTGGTTGAATGCCACCAAAAAACCTCCCATCAACTGGGCAAATTACTCTAGTTCAGAGTTGACAAATAAAATAACTTTATATATATATATATACATGTTAGCATTCATTGACATATTATCCTCCAGTAAATTAACATGTAGACCTTGCGAAATACGCGTTGGAAGATTAGTTTCCACAAAAAATTGGTTATTTCCTGGGTCTATGTTCATTTATCAAAGGGTATACCAAGCATGTTTGAAATGATTCACCCAACCCTATATGTATGTTTCCGGAAATGGGGGTACCCCAAATGGATGGTTTATAATGGAAAATCCTATTAAAATGGATGATTTGGGGGTACCTCCATTTTTAGGAAACCTCCATATATAGCCATCACTCATTTCAAGGTCCTCTACTTCACACGTTTTATTTCTTCGGAAAAGCGCGAAACGCCAACGCCGCCAGCCTCGGAAGCCGAGCGTTCGGTTGGGTCAGAACGGTATATTTTAACTGGGTGGAAAATTGACGATATTCAGTTAACTAACTATACTTATAGTAGATATAGGTTATATAATTGGTTTATAGTATATATAGTTATAACTGATAATTATATATAACTATAACTATATATAACTAATATATATAACGATAGTTCATGGAAAGTTGAGTTACAACTGACAAACATATTATAACTACAGTATAGTTCCATGGGGGGTTTTCCAACCTCAAAGTAGTCTGATGGTTGACCATGATTGATCATGTTGGCTCGGCTGACCTTCTGGTTCTTTGCCGTATGGAAATGCTTCACATTACTCAAGGGTGGCTCAAATCCCAATCCGAGACTTATCATACACTGCTCACTACCGTTAGGGATTCTGATTGGTCCAAGGATTCTTCATTCTTTACATGGAGGTGTTCAACCTGTACCCCAAATCATCCAGTCATTAGACTCATTAGACACTTTTAGCATTGAAACCCTGACATGGAAATGTCGAATCAGCCATGTTCCCAGGCTTAGGGAATTAGCCAGTCCAGCAATCAAAAATCACCATGCAGCAATCCAGGCACAGCTGAAGATTATACAAATTGGCGGGAACTTATCATTCCCCAAAAGGAAGGACATTATTGGTGATCAAGCAGCGATGATAGTCGATGATGTCGAAATTTGAAACTGTGTCACAGCGAGCGCACAGGCCGCAAGAACCGAACAGAACAGAACAGAAATTCCCATCTTTCCATACGACAAAACGACATGGCCGATCTTAAATCCCTTGCAAAAGAGAAGGTATACCTGTATTTCTTGTTGGCTGGTTATCATACTATCCATAGTCGATCACACATTATATATGTATCACCATCTTTCATATAGCAGACTATCATCTTATCATATCTTAATATAATTAATCTATATATATATATATTGATCTATCATATTATCAAACTATCATATACTGGTTGGTGGTATACCTACCCCTCTGAAAAATATTGGTCAGTTGGGATGATGAAATTCCCAGTATATGGAAAAATAAAATTCATGTTCCAAACCACCAACCAGATCAAGTTTCTTTGATTGATGGGATGATCCATGTATAATTAATCTATATGTCTCTCTATATATATATATATTGATCTATCATATTCTCAAACTATATCAAACTATCATATAGCATCCATTCACACCATCTTTCGATCACCACGGCGCTGCAGTTTCCGGATCACGAAGGGCACCGATCTGTGCCAGATCGGTGCCGTCAGCGCAGGCCTGCGGCCAGCCTGCGGCTAGGAAGATCCGAGCTGGGGAAAGCAGATGTTGAAATGGGGATGATATGAATACATGGGAATAAATGGTGAGAAGGAGGTTAAACTGGGAATGTAGATAATGTAAAATCATGTAAATATATATGGGAAATATATGGAAAATATATGGGAAATACGGAAATACGGGCAACCTGCGGCCACCAAGACCAAATCATGAGATTTCGTGAACCTTCAAATACCCGGCAATCGAAGCTGGCCATGGCTTATCATGGCGTTTGTTGCATTTATCATTTCCCAGAAGGTGCCCCGGATTGTTTTGGTGTGCTTCCCTCATACATCCTCATACTCATCCTTTGTAGGTCGTTGTACGGCCTGCATTATCCGAAATGGATCGGGGAGCTAAAAACGCACCCATCTTCCATCATCTCATGCTCCATTGTGCGTCTCGAATGGTCTAGAGTCTAGATTCTTAGATATCTTAGATAGTTTTTACTGAATCTCAAAACTGATATGTTGGGCCACTGTTGATGAAGTTAATGATCGCTAGACTGACCATGGTAGCCTGTTGGCAGCCAATGGATAGAGAATGAAAACCATTGAATCATGCATCGGTTTATCCAAAATGAGGTGTGATACCTCATGTTTTGGTAGCAAAAATGACGATGGATCATGCGGTTTTGGGTAGTTATCCTAGACCAATTGGAGAAACCCACCAGGGCACTAGGCAGTCGCCGAAACCAAGCCCCAACTAAGCTGCACCCTTCAAGTTGATGAGAAACTTTCTTGGAGGGAATCCCATCCAGCGTCCCAAAAATCAGCAACACCCCCCACCAATAACCGTGTTTTTTTTTTGTCATCTCGCAGTGAATCTGCTTATGCCAGTTCTGCATCCATCTTCAATGTATGCTTCACGGCACTTGCCAATCGGGGCTCTCTCTCCAGGAACCTCAGCTAGCAGGGGATGTGTCAAAAGCATCCTTGGTGAACATCAAATTAACTGGCAAATGGATGTTCATCCACCAAAATATGGTAGTTATTGTATAGTTGTTGAATGCTTTTGACTCATCCAATGGTTCATGTCGCACTTTGCGGTTTGTTCTTCTTATTTCTTCCTGCAGTTTTGCTATACATCCGATCATGGCATGATACAAATTCCCTCATAGCTTGGCCGCAGCTCAATGTCGTGCAGACACACATCTACTTTCGGCATCTGTGTTTCTCTCAACCGCAAGACATGACATAAAATACCATTAAACTACCATTAGATGATCATTAGATCATCACCTGATATCATATCTCATAAAATAACAAAATTCAATCACCATATCCCCATTAGATTAGATCAGAATGAGATAAATATGGATAAATGGTATCTATTGGGATATATATATATAATATCTGCTCATGGCCACGATCCCATCCCCAGCCGATGCCCAGGCCACCGCGTGAGCTTCGCAGCGCTGCGGTGCTTCGCTGTCACCGTGCCGCTGAGCGCCTGGAGACCTTGCAGCTCTGTGGCGTCGCGAAGGCGTAACGCCTCCACCTAGCGCCGGGGGTGGTTGGTGTGGTTGGTGGGGTGGAAAGCCTAGAAAAGAGGGGCAAAGTATTAAAATATATTAAAATACCCTGATTTTCTCACATTGAAATTAAGGAAGTTTGGATGTGAATTGGGTATATTCATGGGGGTTCAGGATGTTAAATGAGGATAAATGAAGTAAAATGGTGATAATGAGTTTTTTTCATGTTTTTTAGATAGTACGTGGGAATATTGATGGAGCTATGTTTGCTAACCATACCTTTTGGGATTATTAATACTGAACCCGGTAGTGACTGTCATGTATGTCCTATTGGGAAAAGGTTTGGGCAGCCTGGTATACAATGTATCATGGCCTACCTGTTGGTGGTAAAGGGCAGTCAAAGTCAACCCCTTCATTAATTGCAAGAAGAAGATTTCTCTGGTTGTGTTGTGATGTGGCAGACTCATAGTATTTTCGTTGAGGATATATAATTAGTTTGCGGGATGATGATGTGATTCTCATTTGCCATGGATTTCGTTTGAGATGATTCTGATTCTAAGTCATGATCTTGGGGAATAAGAATCCCAAAGGGTCTCGGAGGTTGTGAAAAGCTGGGTGAACGTGAACATAGGCGAAAAACAGCGTGCCCTATGATATCACGTGAAACATCCCAGCTATATTTGGCGACAAATATCAAAAAATCAGTTGTACTATGAATATGCATAGATCAAATTCAATAAAACTAGGTATACGTATCATAGACATACATATGACTTATGTAATCTTATGTAGCTATCCTATGGCCTATTTGACCTTTTTGTATCGATATCTGGTGATCCCAATGGATCCCAAGCCCTCGTGGTGATCCCAGTGCCTTCTCCATGCGATGCTTCAGCGACGCCAGCTGTGTCTGCTGCGTGAGCTGCTCCTGCTGCAGCCGGCTCTTCCACTGCAGCGAGGCCTCGTGGGCCTGGCGCCGTTGCCTCGGACAGGGGATCCTGGAGGACCCCTGTAGCCATGCGGGAAAATGGTACCCTCTGGTAATTTAACGTAGCTATTGAAAATGGCCATTTATAGTGGATTTTCCCATTGAAAATGGTGATTTCCAATAGCTATGTTAGTTTACCAGAGGGTATGTGTTGGTATGTGGATATGATATGGCTCAGATCTTGGGTTTTTTTTTGATATGGAAACATAAGGTGGCTTTTTCAGCTGAACTGGAATTGATGATGGAATCTAGAAAATGGATGAGTTTATAAAGCTATAACTTGTGGGACCCTTCCTGTGGAAGTTTATGACTGGGTTTAGTGAGGATCATCCCATTTGGCATTTGGTATGGTTAGAACCCCCTTCCATCCCCTTCCAAATGGGATGATTATCCCACTTTGGAGAATGAAAACAACATTAAGATCTGCTGAACAATCTGTTTACCAACTGGGATGATGCTTTCTGTAGTGCTGCAAGTACTTGCTGTTTGATCTGATTGTATATTGATTCATGTAGACATACAACAGACCAGCATTCTCAAATGACGGCGCAAAAATGCGCGAAGGAATGAGGTAAACCCAATAACAATTCAATGATCCACAGAAACGGGTATTTTGCCACAAAATGTTGTATACTTTGAATCAATTCAACGAGTATATCGATGATTATTATTGGAAGTATATATATATATATTTACTATATAGTTGACAACAACTGACTTCTACCTCCATGTGGTAGAGCCAAAGCCATAAACCACCGTAGCCTAGTCTACGAACGTAGGAGTTTGTAAACCAATTAGAGGCGATGCTTTGTTGATTTCCCACATTGCCATTCAAAAATGCAGCCTCAAGTATCAAGAATTGGTATGAATTGTCGTTATAGCTGTGTCGATCTGTTTGAAACGAGCACACACCCTTTCAAAGTGTGACGGTGTGATGTACAGCACTAAGCAAGTCTAATGAAGCAAATTATAACATATTATAACCATTTATAACCCATTCGAGCCTAGTCTGATGTGGCATAAATCCCAATTAGGTTGGTGGGCTATTGGCCAGTTTTTCCTCCAAGTAGGGCGTCTATAGCCCCAGCCACTACCTCCTGATCAAGCCTAGAAATCCGAAATCATCCAAAATCCATACGTTTTACAGATAAGATGGAAGAAGATCATCAAGCACGAAAAAACACAATATTTTTTCCGCAATTCCTAGTTGTTTTGTTTGTAACTTTTCGATCTATCACGGGCCGCAAATATACTACTACTTGTTTAATTTCCAACCGTTCATTAACCCTTATTATCCTTATTAACCGTTTAAAGTAACCATTTATACTAGCCATTTGTCGGCCATGTATTAACCAGCCTATCAAAACCATGAACCATTATCATGAACCATTTATAGAATTAGCATTAAAATGCATTATATAATATAATCACCATTATTTAAGCATGATTTAACCATGCTGCATTCACCATTTATTACCCAAAATCCAATTACTTTTTTCAGCTGTGGAGCTCTTTCTCCACTTCCGACTGCTGATTCGTCACGCGCTCCGCCTCTGTCTTCGCATGGTGAAGCTCCTGTTGGTCCTGCCGCGGGGCGGGGGGCTCCTGGTGCTACCTGGAGATATCTAAATTATCCTCCATCCAGCCTCGCCATGGAAAAGCATGGAACATCATGGGAAAAACTGGAGTTTATGGGCGATTTCTTAAGTGGCTCTGATCCCATGCTACATCTTGGTACAGTCGTGGGCTCCTAGCAGCTCTAAATGGGGGTAGAAATGCCCCAATCACTACCAATGATGTCACCCATCACTGCTTCGATGCCCGAAGCGATGGAATTGCGTGCAACTAGAGGGGTTGCACTTCCCAGTCACACAAGTCCTTCAATGGAGAGTCACTGGAAAGATCTGGAAAGGAGACAAGGCACGGTGATTTTCATATGAAATATCCCAGGTAAAGGAGGTTATCACCCACTGACCCTCTGCATTCTGACCTCACAAGGGATGATTGCCAACGAAAGTGAGAGATTTCTTATGATTTCTTTATCAAAGATGTTCCCATTAAAGAGCATTATATTTTTTAGTGGTAAAAGATCAGTTGCCCAAGTTTGATTACCAGAGGCTACCTGCAGATATGTTACAGTAAGGCCCTCGTCACTGGTGACAAGATCCCTTGTATCCCTTTGGTGTTGGTGTTGGTGTGATTTCCATTGGGGTTGCTTACATCTCTGTCAAAAAGAAACATCACGTGCCAATGTATGAAATTTCAGTATTGCATCATGTTTGGGGATTGGTTGAAATCAACGTTTTTCGCATGCTTGGTCACTTGGTCAGTATCAGCCATATAGTGCTGCCACATCTACTACCCATGCATCTCCATATCACCAACATTTAATGTTCATACCCCATTTTTCAATGCGAATATCACGATTCCCCGATGAAACAAAGTAAAAACATCCTGGATTAAGCAGAGCTATCTTGGGTAACTGAGAACCCCATATCGTTCCATATCATTCCCATGTTTCCATATATTTCCCATCTGAAAGATGTTGGATGATTTTCGCCCTCAGATCTCCTGCATTTGCTTCAACGAGAAGCTACTCTGCAGCTGTGCGGCTTCCGCCGCCAACTGGTTCTGCTGCCGTCCCAAGCTGTCGATCTTGTCCTGGATGCACCAAAATTGGGATGGCATCCTCCACATGGATTTGATTGAACATAGGCCATTTTGCTCCGATTTATGGCAGTTCTAATGCGAAGAACATCAAACAAGGCCGAAATATGGTTCTTTCTTCGTGGTCATAATCATAGTCCCAATGGCGAATGCTTTTGTAATGTTTTGAAATCCATGTTAGTCCCTCATCTCTAGGGTCAGTGCCAACTCTGAAGGCACATGCTCAGTGTATATCCATGTGTTGAATATCTAACAACATTTATATACGCTCAAAACGACCCAGTTTGGTAGGTAAATGTAGGTAATGGTAGTTATATATACCATCACCATCCATCACCATTGAGCATACATTGATTTCTTGATACTTTTAAATCCACTTACCTCACATCTCCCCATGTTTGATGCTCAAAAATCTCAACTTTTCAGAAGCCAAATCCTAGCACCATTCCCATATGCTCCATCTTTGGCATATTTACATACGAACTGGGTGAATGTTGATAAATATTCCAGCAACTTTTCCAGCACCAGGAACGGCTGGAAAGCACCATTGCCAGGAACCTCCAAGGCCAGCAATTCGCCCTGCATCTTCTCCACTGCTCTAGCCTTTTCACTGCTCTTCCTGCGTCCCGTGCTTTCCTCTTGGCGGATCTCCTGGAAAAAACCACGGAGTTTAAATAGAGATTATCAAAGGGTCAATGTTTCAATCTGACGACTTTTTTTTCGGTAAAATCAAGTGACTTTCGCACGCAATTTTATGGCATCCCATGGCATCCCATGGCATCCCATGGTGAAGCCCCACCTGTTGCAAGGCTGTGGACCGCTCCATGAATTTCTTCTGTTCCTCGGCTGAAAAAAGGTGAGCCGTGCAATCAATTTCAACTCCAGGGGAGACATGGAGAAAGCCTGAAAAATCCAATCTCAGTGTTTCTCCCCCTTTTTTCTCGATCTATATAGTCGTCTACTAGCAGGTTTTCCATGGTTTTCCAGCAAACTCCGTTGCCTAACCAGGTCGTCTCCAAGTCTCTTTGGCCTCATCTCGCTTGGTGTCGGCCACTTTGGCCCGCAGCTGCTGCACCCGCTTCCTGGGCGGCCCAGCTCGATCCCATGATCCCATGAATTCTTGGCCCTGCAATTTGAAGTGCACCGCAGTTTCAAGGGTCTTTGAAAATTAACACTTAATACAACTTAATACATTTTAATACATTTTAATACATCTTAATACATCTTAATACATGTTTATGGTTCATAATAACTATATACATCAGCTATGAACACTGCCGTTTCAAAATTTCACTTCACAGTTCTTTTCTTCACCCCTTCCTTATCAAAAGGTGATCTTTTTGAGAACGGACTAATCATCACTAGTCCTCAAACTTACTTACCATGGTTCTCATGGATTAGACATGATCACACACACACACATATATATATATATAGATTATTACTATTATTATTTATATATATATATATGTGTGTGTGTGCGTATTATATTATATTATATATATAAATATTATATATACTATATGTTTTTCTATTATATTTATCTATCATCAAAATATATCAAAATCACGTTTCCTGATGTTCCGGGTACTCTTATGCCCTCAAGCCCATCCCAGCGTCTTCGCTACAGATTTCTTCCCATCCGCCCGCGGATTGATACTCTGCAGGCGCTGCTTCGAGGAGTGCAACTCCGTGCGCAGCTCCTGCTGCCAGCGCCCCGTTTAGTGCGGAAGACTTTGAAAGTTACCCTCTGGTAATTTAACATAGCTATTGAAAATTGTGATTTATATTAGTGGATTTTCCCATTAAAAATTGTGATTTTCAATAGTTACGTTAGTTTACCAGAGGGTAACGGTGTCCTGAAAATGGTCCTTTAAACACCTTTGAACCAATGTTGGGGGTCCTGAAAATTGTTCTTTAAACTAATTTTGGGACAAGGACTTGTGACGTTTGCCTTCCCAGTTTGAAGAACAGTACGTTTAGACTCGACACCCATGTAGGCCTCTATGCAAAACACAAGCACATTTCATAGAATCATTAGACCAAAACAGGGATAGGACTCTTCCTGTAGCCAGCTTCCAGACCTTGTACTGGAAGATTCTCCTACTGAAATGAGGATTTAACGCCAAAGTGAGGACTTGAGGGACCATCCCTTCCAGGACCCATGGATCTCTCATGTAACTGTTGCAGCCAAAAAGAGTGCACTTTTTCGACCACACACACGCAGTGCCACGCACACGTATGTAATGTATATATATATATTATATATATATATATATGACATCCATAAGCCACATCAACCCATGTTTGACCCAGCTGTTTTTCCAGTCCTCATCCTCCTGTTTTTCACTTTCTTTCAGCTTCTCTTCCCTGAGCTTCTGCTGCTGCGTGCGACTTTGTGACGCCTCAAAGGCCTCGTTCTTGCGGCGCTCCTCGTCCACCTTCGCACGCTGCTGGAAGAGCTCCGGCAGCTTGTGGTACCTGAGAGGTAGCAACAGTAAAGTAGCTTCGGCTTATCCATGTATGTCTCTCTCATGTATTTATTATGTTTTAAAATATATGTATGAATCTGTAGAGGTGTCTAACTAGTTGTTTATTGATCTTACTTGTCTGTATATGCTATCTATCTATCTACCTACCTATCTATTTATTCATTATATTACTATAACTTTTCTTTAACCTATCTAATATATCTGTTGGTCTGTCTATCTCTATCCTTATCTCTATCCCTATAGGCCCTATATGTCTATCTCTATCTCCCTACCTATCTGTATATGTAAGACCTGGATAGATTGTATTCTATATGTTTCTTTGGAGTCCCATACTGTTGGGTTTACTACCAGATTGCTACTAGGGGATCAGATTAGTTTGGGCTCCGGGCTCATCTTTGTCATTCTCTGTCTCTGGGACATCCCCCCAGAAACCCTGCTGTAGTATGGAGCCTGTTCATCATCTTTATAAGGTGTTCCAAATACTTGTCTTTGTTCATCGAGTTTGGCCGCATGACTGTCACTCCCTTGATGGCACCAAGCAGTTTAACTTATGGGATTCAAGTTTGATGGCAGCTATTCACTTTTTCAACACGCCGGCATAATAATGCTTTGTCGCAACTCCAAAAATATATGGGAAATTCTGGGAACCAGAAAGGGAGCCTGCCAAAAAGGCTATCTGTGAAAAATCGCCAAAACTAAACCAGTTGCATGTTTTTTCCTCCCAAGTGCTCTTAAGGATACGGCAGTGAGTCAAAACCTCTAGTCCCAATTTTTTGAGGGATGAACATCCATAAATCCGAGCTTTTTTGAGGTGAACAGAAGTGTGTTAGTTTAAAACTCCCATTAAGTACATTAGTTCATCATAGTTCTATGTAACTAATTGCCACGAACCCTGGTCAATCTAGCTAGTTGCTCCAACTTAGCCATCATCAACAGGAGTCCACCTTAGCTATCCGTAACCGGTGACCCTGGTACTGTAACCATTGCCATGCCACATATCTTGCGCCGCGCGCAGCCTGTAGAGCTTCTTCTGCCGAACCTGTTGGATTTCTTCCTTCACCTTCTGAGTGTCCTCGGTGACGAAAAACCGGAGAAAACCCCAAGGGGTGCCTTGGAATCTTCCACTGTCGTGTGTTATATAAATATTGTAATTTGTTTGTGTGGGTGAACACTTGTTTTTTCCATTTGCCTGGCTCAAAATGTTCGATTTTTACGTCTTCCATTCATTGCGGGTAAAATCCCAATATTCTTTATCATGTTTTGTGGATTAGATCCACATTGCTTGCAGGTAAAGATGCAACCAACCGGTGTCGAACCAAAAGTCAGTTTAGATCTTGTTCACCGACAGAAGCAAAAAAAAAAACATCCTTAAACAATCAGAAAACAATACATGCGCAACCGTATCAATATAACACAATGATTTACGTCTTATTAATTCTTATTCCATGTGTCTGGTACAGTGCGATGCATGTTTGAAGCCACGGCTTCGTTGCAAGTCATTGTGGCTGCATCGAATCGATCGCCAGCATTTCACCACCATTTCACATCATCAATTTACTGGTTTTGACGCATCCAAAACTGGCATACAGCCGGGGAAGGTCCTGGAATCAAAAAATATTAATGCATGTTCCCTCAAACCATCCTTCAGTATACTCAAACATGGCTGAGAAATCCCCGAACAAAAACTGGGTAAAATCATTGAACTGGGGATTTTTACCAACCATGGAGCTGACACGGGCCCCATCCCCTTCTGAGTCCACGCTTCAAAGGTTTCCTTGGACCTCAACTGATCCAATTGCATGCTCTCTTGCTGCACCTGCGCCTCCAAACCACCTTAGAACTCGGCTAGCAAATGGGGCCCACATGGGGAAAAATGCTACTGTAAATTAAAGATTGGGCCGTGGAAATCTCAAATCCAACTACAATAGAACCACTTCCTTTGAGGTTTTGAGGTTTAGATTCAGAATGGAAACCTCCTGGGATATTGAACAGTCTTGTCACTTAAGTTATAGCATCAGGGAATCCATTGGCAATACCATCGTTTTTGGCCTACGAGGATGCCGTAGAGTAACTAAACAGCAACTACTACTAGCCTCCACGATGCAAAAACATGTCTGGTTTCAACGACCCCCTGAAAATGTTGGGATCATCATACACTCCAGTTATATCATCATCTATTCTTGGCATGGACATTCAGTTACAGTAATACTTCACAGTCACGAGTCACCATCAATACAAAATGACCAATGTGCTATTTCCATCTATTTCCCAGTCGAGTCAACTTAGTTTCTTACACCCTTAAAATTTCAATATTTGTCCTTGCAAAGATCCCAAAACGAAGTCCCACCAAAAATCAAAAAAAAAAAACCTTTGCCGAGCACAGGAGAAAGCCACTGACGTTGGCCTGCAACTCTTGGATCTCCTGTCGTTTCCGCACGGCCACCCGCACCACCTCCGTCAGCCTAACCTCGTGGCCGGACGAGGCCACAGTGGCTGCACCTGCCTGGACCAGTGAGGTGTCGATGTCATCCTTCAGTTGGAGCACCTGAAAACATGAGCGGCTCGGGTGGCCAATAACAAAATGGGACCAAACATCCATAAACAACCGAAAAAACTGGTTAACATTAACATACACTAACCATATTATCTTATATTATCTTATATTACCCCCTGCTCACCTGTTGCATAGATACGGTAAAAATGGCCCATGTTTTTCGCTGATTTTACCGTTTTTAGACATGTTTCATTTATGTGAATGTCCATACCTATGGGCTCATGGGTAGTTTTTGCCAATTTCCATGGGTACTTGAAGATAATCTTGGGATGGACTGCCCAGGAGAAGATCCTTGCCCACCATGGCCCACCATGGCCCACCATGGCCCACAATGGCCAAAGCGCCGACGACCCAATTGTACTGAAAATGGCCATGGAAAATTGCCACGCATAAATCCATTTCCCATTAGAACCGTATAAAATAATAACATACAGGATCCGTTACTTTACGGGGCCTTTCCATGGATTTCCACTTGCAATGTTGGCCTGAAGCCATTTTTTCAGTGACACGCTGACGCTCTTCAGCCGCTCAATCACAAGTGGATTGATCGGGCAGTCATCGACCCACCCAAGCAGCTCCGACTCCAGCGCGCACGACTGCGGTCGGAAAGGCTACGACTGGCCGAGCGGAAGCTGAGTGGAACCATATTCGTCACAAGCCTAGGATGGCCGTGCAGAACTGGCTGCCAAAAAGTTTGCCAAGCACTTTGGCACATGCAGGGTTTGATATGTGGGGCTTTCAGGAAGAGAGCACCAAGGAGGAGCTTTGATGGCAGCTCAGGCAAAGGTCACCGGTTTGTTGAACCAATGCGGTGCGATGACTCTGTTGTTGCATCTTGTGATGTTGAATGGGTCAGAAATGGTCAGAAACTTGAAAGAGGAGGACGGCCTACTTATTTCAAGCGAGTGCAAGGCCTTGCAGGTGACCTTGGAATTGCCCGTGGTTTCAGCAGTCTTGGAGTTCGCAAGCCGAGGTCCTCCAACCAGGGAGCTTCCTTGAAAAGAACATGGCGGGCCACAGGATCACCATGCGAATGGAATGCCACAGTTTTGAGTGAGGAGCTCACACATGCCGGTCCGCAAAACGTGAAGGTGCTGTCACGTAAGTCATGGGGGAAGCAAGTTGAATGGTGGGTTGAAGCTACTGCGAAAGACCATGATTTCTTTGAGATTTCTACTGCTTCTCGTTTTGTAGTTGTTATTGCAACCCCAGTTTCCAAGCTGAAACGGCAAACGGTGAAGAAGCTTGCGAGCGGTGAGAGGGTCTTGTTTTCAGATCCACGAAAGATAGAGGAAGAAAAGCCCGGAGTTGTCAAAACGGCTGGAAGGTCTTTTTACATTGGCACGCCTCTCAAACAGAAAGAAGTGCAGGCAACGTTGATTGACTCCACTCCTGGCACTCCAAAAGGTGAATCTATGGGGGGGGAAGCTCGCAACAATAGCGAGAAAAGACAAGGTGAGACGCCTGCCAAAGACAGGCCTACAAAACGGCCGGCGGTGATGTCTAAGCCTCCGCATGGACTCAAAGCCCGCACCAACCCTGGTGCTGGCAACTGCGTGTTTGAAGCTTTGGGTCAGGGATTGGGCCCTGATCAGCCAAAGCCAGCAAGAAGCGTCAGGGCTTCTACCATCAACAATTTGAAACGGCATGCCGCACGTTATCAACCATGGCGGGAACAAAAGGAGCCTACGAGTGAGGAGGGGCCATGTGAATCTTGGGATATTTATTTGACCAAACTGGCCAAGGTTGGAGCATGGGGAGGCAGCACTGAGCTTGGTGCGGGTGGAGTGCACTATGATAGGCCAATTGTTGTTTTTCAGCCTACTGGAGTTCCTGAGATCTACAATGCTCAGGGACAAGCTGGGTCGGCCATCCCTTTGTGGTATTGCAACAGACACTATGAGTTTTTGGAAGGAGCGCTGCCTGATGGCGTTGCACAGCAAGCAGATGCAGGATGGGCGTGGAGGCGATGATGTGGAATCAGCTGCCCTGACAGCCATGACAACGGCCTCTGCTTTACCGTCTGATGCTGGTTGGGGTCGGACATGCGATGCTGCAATGCCTGCACTCTTATCACAAAGCAGACTTCCTCAGCCAAAGCCCTTGCCCAGCTCTTCTACCTCAAAGCGTCTGTCGCGACTGCTTCTCAGGGTCGGGGTGAGGCTGAGGGCAGTTCTGTGAAGGCTGTTTGCGGGCAAGATGTGAAGGAGGACTGCAGGTCGCAGACTGCAGGGGGATCTGGGACTGGATCTTCCAGCCTAGGCAGGCATCTTCGAGCAGGCATGCACTGACCGAAAATGCGGCCTCGGCCTGCATAGCCCTGAGGAAAATAGAGATGACTATGGGTCAAAAACTTTGGTACCCTGGTGGAGAATAGACTCTGAGCCGACTTTTTCATCTGATGGCCATATTTACCCAATTTCCATGGTGTTGATTTTTGACCCATAACTCTCCAAATGATCCAAATGGGTCTTTTGAAGTCTTGATCCAAAACATGCCTTCATCGGAAGAGGTGCCAACGATCGGCCAGCTGTCAACATGAATTAAACTGCAGTCTATATATAAACCCATCTTTTCATAATATGAGAAAACTTGACTCAACCAGTTATTAACCATTATTAACCACCATTTACCAGTTATTAACCAGTTATTAACCAGTTATTAACCATTACTAACCACCCATAATATCAGTGTCACACTGTTTCTCACCATTGACTTTGCGCGGCGCCTGTCGCTGCATGGCATCTGCGTGGTACTCCTCGTCTCGTCCTCGGATAAAGCTCGCGGGTTCCAGAAAGTGCCAACGGTATTTTGCAACTCCCAAAAGAAATGCACACAACAACAGAATCCGATCCTGAAAATAGTGGTGTATATATATATAATGTAAATAAATGTAGATATTAAATTATTGTTTCTCTCTCTTTTTGGGGGGGTTACTACACCTAGTCTGCAATGTGACAATCGTCGACTGGAATGATTGTAAGAACATGTGATACGCGTCAATGTCAGTGGAAATTCTGGCACATGGAGAGGATACATCCTCTTAACATACCTAACAAGACGGTACCAGCCGTCAAAAGTGTGTTTCAATTGCTGCGGTTTTGAGGGATGCCGCATCTGAATGGTAAACACAGGTAAACACCATGGTTTCCCACACATTTTGACTGCAACCCGTCCATTGCTCTTGCCATTCTGCAACTTAGTGACGCTCTTGCTGCTGCAGCTGCACATGGTTCTCATTTTTTTGCAACCGCTGCTTTCCTTCAGTCAGTTCCTGCCCACATCTTTTGACCAACCTTTGGTCGGATGCAAAGGTTGCAAACACTCCAAAACTTCTCTGCCAAAAAGCCTACGGTAGCTCAAGACCCAAGATGGTCAAACTCAAAAGAATACTGAATTCTTGTTTTTGATTTTTGTTGGTTCTCCTATTTCAATGCAAAGCGGCGCATGGGGCTCATGCTACCTCCCTGTGCCTAAAACATCCTAAAACAACATCCCCAGCCTAACATCCCTGTAGCGGACAGCTAATGCTTGTCCATGTCACCATATTTTCAGTTTTTTTGTTGGCCCAAAGGTGAACGAGCTAAACCATTAAGGTGTTTAAAACCCGATCAATGCGTTAAAAATATGAATATATATATACATACATATAGTAATAGTGGTCTATGGCCAAGGATTTATTCTGTCACACCTATTACAGACACAAACATGGAGCCCAACAATTGCAATTTCCAGAAGATGCGACCCATTTTCGGGGGTCGCACTGTTAATTTTGGGGGATGGCGTAGTATCCCCATCTAAATGGCTAAAAATCCGACCACTTGGTACCCCAAAAACCCTCTGGTTTATCATCATGTTTCCCATGTCATTTTGGCTTGGGGCATACCATCCCCCAATTGACGTAGACCCTGGCAAGCAAGGGAGGGTGTAAGATTAGTTCACTAAAAATTGCCTATTGTCAGGGTCAAACTGTTAATTTACTGGAGGGTAATGTGGTAAACTGGCCAACCCCATGTATCATAAACCATCCCCAGTAGGTTTATAGCTTTGGTTGCCCACATTTCTCTCTCTCCATCGCCATCAGTCAAGACTGCCACCCTCCGGTAATCAAACATGGCAATGGCAAATGATCCATTTATAGATGATTTTCCCAGTAAGACCTCTATTTTTGCCCGCAGAACCTAACGTTCGCCCATGATGACAATATATATCTCATTCTTCCCACGGTTTTGACACATGTTTCATCCACGGTTCTAACCACCTTGCAGGGATGAACGGTACACTAGGTGTGGCCCCTCGCCATGCGTACGACACAAAATTTGCTTCATGGCTCATTTCACAACAATTTGCGGCAACAACCCTTCGCAGACTTCGTGGGGGTCCGTGGAAAGAAGGGCCGTTTCGTGCGAGAAAACTCCGGGCAACCGTACGGTTCTGTGCGTATTTTTTGCCTATAATTTTCGCCCTTGCCACCTTTGATTACCAAAGGCTGTGGCTAAAACAATGCCATTTTTACCCATGACTGGGGGTAAAAATATACCCTCTGGCTATTTAACATAGCCATGGAAAATGGTCCATTTATAGATGGTTTACCTATTAAAAATGGTGATTTTCCATGGCTATGTTAAATAACCAGATGGTACCACCTATAAAAATGGTGATGACTGGGGGGTGGTTTTCCTCGCCTCCTGGTCCCTGCGCTGCATCTGTCGCAGATCCGCCAGCTGCTCCTTGGCACCGCGCAGCGCGGTTTCCTCGTGCACTTGGAGGACGGGGAGATAGGTGGAGCTGACGCGAAACTGGGGATGACCCATAGAAAAAATGGAGAAACATGGGGATATCATGGGGGGAAATCAATGATATACACAACAAAATTCTGGGTAAACACATGGGATACTTGGTTTTAGCTGGGTTCACTAGGGTTATTTAATGGATACATGTATAATATAATATATATATATATTTAATAATAATAATAATCACACATATATATATAATCACATATATATATATATATACGTATGTATATAAAGTGATGTATCTGCAATTGGATAGGTACAGCATGACTTGGTGGCGGCCTTCTGCAGGGTTCATCAGAGGGTCACCATACATCGGTGGAAACATGGTTTCTTTTCGAAATATTCGTTTGAATCAAGCGGGTGAGATAGCACCGTGGAAATAACAAGGAACCAAAGTAAGTAAAGAATAGTGATAATTGTGATACCTTCTGGTAAACTAACATAGCTATTGAAAATGGACATTTATATATAGTTGATTTACCCATTCAAAATGATGATGTTCCATAGTTTTTGGTACGTTTACCAGAGGGCAATCATGAAGAACAATGAATATGTTGACAACAGTCAAAATCACAAGATCCATCCATGTGGTCAATCTGCTCCAGATGCTCCTTGGCAACTATCGCTAATATCATCAGATCCTTCCTCTTAAAGAGAGGTGACTATGGGGAAATGAATGTCGAGTTGACAACTCCACCGTGTACACCTCTGAACCATCCACCAACTTTGATCTGGGGAGAAAGAGCTTTTCAAAGCTAGCTGAAACATACGAGTGATCTGTCATGGTTTTCATATGGGAAATCATTTCCCCAAAAGAGTCGCTTCACTTTTTCAATACGAATCGCTTTTTTTGAACTGGCCATGGAGCTGGCAACCCGCAAAAAACTCACCTGAGCACTTCTTTCGGGTGAAAAATACCTGGAGCATGGCCCCCTTTTGGCCGCCAACACTCATCAAAGGTCGGACCGTCCTAATAGATTTAAAGAAACGTGTTTCATGAAACGGTGGTTTTAAATGTTCTATTATCATCTATAGTATCCAGTCATTATAAATGAACAGTCATTCTTTTGGACATTCTTTTGGACAATCAGCCGCGACATTCGTGGCCCACTACGGCAATCTACGGCCAAAGGGCCAGCTGTTCCACATCCTTTTGGTACTCCTCTGCTTGCTGCTGGTACTTGAGCTCCAGGCCATGATCTGCAGCCACTTCTTCCTTGGCCTGTGCCTGCAAAGTGCTGACCTGCGTACGTGTTTTTTTAGCACAGGGAGATGGTGGGTAGGTCGTTCTTGGAAGCGGACATATATCTGTATACATCTGCATCAAAAACCCTATTATTATAAATCAAATATAAATCATATCATATATCTCTAATGAAATCTATGCATGTATGATATATATATATACGTGTGGAATGGCACGGATACACAAGACCAACTATTAATCCGGACACCTCCATAATTCGGCGCAATTCTTTTGTCAGCACAGGATGAAAAGAACCCACCTTCTTCCATTTACCCTCTGGTAATTTAACATAGCTATTGAACATGACCATTTATAGTGGATTTTCCCATTAAAAATGGTGATTTTCCATAGTTATGTTAGTTGACCAGAGGGTATAATTGCAAGACTGTATCACTATTTTGGGAAACCCCCTTATTGATCCTCGTTTCACATTGCCATATTACAATGTATTACAACCATAGGCAATTACCAAGAATTACAGTAGCTGACCATTCTAGAAAATACAACCCAGTTGCCGTTTCCAATGAGCAATCTTAGAGACCTACAACAAAAAATAAAAAAAAAAAAAAACATCTTTTAGCTCGTTGAGTAGCTTAATATATCCCCATGTCACATGTGTAGGCAAATGTACTACACATCCAAGGTGATTAACCTGGTCGACCCATTTCCTGCGCTAAAGGCAATGCCATAAACCAGCACCGGAAACCATGACTGGGGTCGTTGTAGCTAGTTCTATCCAACTTTCATAAACCTCAAACTTGGTTATGGTGACGGCATTGTGGTAAAGGCTTTACCACATATCCCAATGAAATCCTATAATATCACCATTTTCCCCACTATAAAATCCCATTATATCCCCATGATATCATCATTTTCTGCAACTTCATTGATCCCACTGTCAGATCGTCTGGGCCATGTCACTGCCCTTTGGAGCTCCGCGATCTGCCGCTGTTTCTGGGCCAATTGGCTTTGCTGTGCCTGCACCGAATTGTGATACCTATTGGAAAATCACCTGCAGTTAATGGTAGTCAAGCGATCCACCATCCCCACATGTATGTAAGCTTTTTGGGCGGGATTGAAACCATCAAACCAGTGGTTTATTGCTTTACTAACATTAAACATTATATTATAATTATTGGGGTGCAATCCCTTGCAATACGCTATATACAATGTATGTTTATGGTTTATGATCTGGTTGGTGGTTTTAACCATCTTTAGAAATATGAAAGTCAATGGGAAGGATTATCCCATATATTATGGAAAATAAAAAATGTTTGAAACCACCAACCAGTGATGGTTTAGGATTTTACCTCAAGGTACCTCAAACAAACTTCTCAAATATTACTGGATAATGATCACCCCGCCATACAATAAACGCCCCTACCTGAGACTGTTTCTGCGGGGTGTTTATAGCCCGGAGGCGGTTATATGTGTAAAACATGCTGAAACCAAGTGAAGAGAAAACAACAAGTTTATGAACAGTTTATGTATGTCATCCTTCACGGGATTTATGAAACTTCAGATTTTTTCGTCACTGCTTGGAAGCTGGAAAACCCACTGTTGGAGGCTTCTGATCCATACTGCGAATCACTGATACCATGAACCATGACATACGGGCGTGTTTTCAGGAAGCCTATAGGTCAAGCGCCAAGGGGTCCTCAAATCTAAGAAACGATTTCATAGGGGTCAGGGGGAGAGCATCTATCCCTGACTGGGCTAAGGCTCACCCCATCTGAAAATTGTTGCCGCGTTTCCAACACAAGGCTTCCTGAAAATTCCAGCCCAAGCAACAACTCTCCTTCCTTGTGGTTGGTAAGCATCTCCTATTTGAGTTTTTTAAATCCCTATCGATTTCCGCCTATTGGATTGGTTGATCTTAAAACTCCATAAAAAAATCCCATTTTTTTGACAGTGAAATTCCAAGATTTCACAATCCCAGTACTGCATATCCCCATCAAATGAGCCAGTTTCAGAATTCTACATTCTATAGATATCCCATATATCCCATATGATCATCATATTATGATTGGTTCAATATACTATATCATATAATGTTGGATGGACAATAGTAAAGCGCGTGCAATAGCTACAAATAATTTTCAGAATCTGATTTTTCAGCCCCTATTGATTTTAAATTAGGCCTTATTGATTTTAAATTACAAACATCAACCTTGGTCCAGAGCATCTGCAATAAATGTGGTTCATTCGCAATAGCTACAAATAATTTTCAGAAAATTCCCAAATTATCAGACTTTACAATACTAAATTGCAAAGGAGCTAATTGAGATTTAGTATGGATGCAGGAAAAAAATCAGAACCAGTTACAGTTCAGCTGTATTTTTTCCCTTCTTCCTTAGTGTTTTTAATTGTGGTTGAATGGTTTTAAATTGTGATTGCATGCTGTTCAAAAGCAAAAAAACAAAGCAAACCTTTACCAAATCAAAAATTTTACCTTGTTCAAAAAAGTTGTTTTCTTTATTAAAATCCTTTTAAACAATTGCCAAAAACAGGTCCACAAAGGGTACCCCCTTGCAGGTCCTTGCATTTGCAATTAAAAACTGGAATTAGCACTTGCAATAAGAAACAACCTTCCTGGCTCTAGCAGGCATTTTTTTCCCTTCTTCCTTAGTGTTTTTAATTGTGGTTGAATGGTTTTAAATTGTGATTGCATGTTTTTCAAAAGCAAAAACAAAGCAAACCTTTACCAAATCAAAAACTGTACCTTGTTCAAAAAAGCTGTTTTCTGTATTAAAATCCTTTTAAAAAATTGCAAAAAACATGTCCACAAAGGGTACCCCCTTGCAGGTCCTTGCATTTGCAATTAAAAACTGGAATTAGCACTTGCAATAAGAAACAACCTTCCTGGCTCTAGCAGGCATTTTTTTCCCTTCTTCCTTAGTGTTTTTAATTGTGGTTGAATGGTTTTAAATTGTGATTGCATGCTTTTCAAAAGCAAAAAACAAAGCAAACCTTTACCAAATCAAAAACTTTACCTTGTTCAAAAAAGTTGTTTTCTTTATTAAAATCCCTTTAAAAAATTGCCAAAAACAGGTCCACAAAGGGTACCCCCTTGCAGGTCCTTGCATTTGCAATTAAAAACTGGAATTAGCACTTGCAATCAGAAACAACCTTCCTGGCTCTAGCAGGCATTTTTCCCCTTCTTCCTATCAGAATCCAATGAAGATCCCATCAGAGCCCATCAGAAAAGAGAGGATTTGTCAAAACCTTACAGAAGCCTTTGGGGAAGAGTTGGGATTTTCGATTTACTATTGCAAAGCAGACCCCCCTAAAAAAAATTAGGGGGGACCCCCCTTTACTATTGTCGATGTAACATTAGATATCCATAAATATCCTACTACTGCTAATATTCGCTCGCAATTATCTAAGCGTTATCCCACTGTATCCGCATTACATCCCTATGATGTTCGGCAAAGATCCCCGTGATCTGCTATGACTCATGGAAATTGATGCCAAAATCCCAATGCTTCACCATTTTTCATAGCAAATCACCCAAATTAAGCCATGTCTGATGTTTCAAGCATTTCAATTCACCATGTTTCATGTTTAAACCCGAATGTTTCACAATTGTTGACGGTTAACACCCCATGTTTTATGCTTAAACCATATGATACCAACATTTTCCATAGCAGCACCAGGTTTTTTCGCCCTCCGGCAGCCCAGGGCCGTGCCTGAAACATCTCTTCCTGTTGCGTGAGGTTCTGCCGCAGCTCCTTCACACGCACCCCGGCGGCGGCGGCAGCGGTCCTGAGGGCAGCTGAGGGCAGCTGAGGGATGGTGGGGTGATCTATCGATTTCACCATTCACCAGCAAAAATTGTAATTTAGCAGCAAAAATCTTGGGATTTCACACCAAAAACTGGGATCTCAAACAAACATTGAAATTTCACCATTGAAAATGCTGACTTGAGAAGGGGTGACACGAAAGGTAGTTGTGTCAGACGTTATAACTCTGATTGTCGTTGTGATGTGACTCCAGCTTGGGTGGTTCATGAACCGTGGACGGGCATGAAACTGGACATAGCTGAACGGAGATATCTGGATCCGAAAAGAGGGCACCCCACGATTGCCATGGTTGATCATCACTTAGTCTATTTAAAGAGCCATTTGGAGGTATATTGTCTGACACACGCATCGTGCGGGGAAAAAAACCACGGTCAGTGTTAGCACAAACCCCAAAGTCGCTTTTGCGGTACCTATGGATGCTCGAACCTGTCACTTTCATCGCACCGTTGGGTACGGGGCAAATGGATGTCGAAAAATCCGAATTGCAAGTCGAATGATGAGGATGATGATGATGATGATGATGAGGATGATGACGATGATGCTGATGATGAGACACTGCGAAGGGGCTGCTGCGTGAAGAGACGCACAAGGCATGTGACGAGAGTTCACTTGGGGGGGGGGCATGGAACTGGACATTCAGAGCAGAGCGGAGATATCTGGATCCGAAAAGAGAGCACCCCACGATGTCCATGGTTGCTCATCACTTAGTCCATTTAAATAGCCATTTGGAGGTATACATTGTCAGACACACGCATCGTGCGGGGAAAAAAACACGATCAGTGTTAGCACAAACTCCAATGTCTCTTTTTGCGGTACCTATGGATGCTCGAACCTGTCACTTTCATCGCGCCGTTGGGTACTTGGAAAATGGATGTCTAAAAATCCGAATGTCAAGCCGAATGATGATGGTGATGATGATGATGATGATAATGGTGATGATGATGATGATGTTGATGATGATGATGGTGATGATGACGAGACACTGCGAAGGGGCTGCTGCGTGAAGAGACTCACCAGGCATATGGCGAGAGTTCCCTTTGAGGGGGGGGGGCTCTGATTGTCGTTGTGATGTGACTCCAGCTTGGGTGGTTCATGAATCGTGGACGGGCATGAAACTGGACATTCATAGCTGAACGGAGATATCTGGATCCGAAAACCCGGCACCCCACGATTGCCATGGTTGATCATCACTTAGTCTATTTAAAGAGCCATTTGGAGGTATATTGTCTGACACACGCATCGTGCGGGGAAAAAAAAAACGGTCAGTGTTAGCACCAACCCCAAAGTCGCTTTTGCGGTACCTATGGATGCTCGAACCTGTCACTTTCATCGCACCGTTGGGTACGGGGCAAATGGATGTCGAAAAATCCGAATTGCAAGCCGAATGATGATGATGATGATGATGATGATGATGATGACGATGATGCTGATGATGAGACACTGCGAAGGGGCTGCTGCGTGAAGAGACGCACAAGGCATGTGACGAGAGTTCACTTGGGGGGGGGGGGCATGGAACTGGACATTCAGAGCTGAGCGGAGATATCTGGATCCGAAAAGAGAGCACCCACGATTGCCATGGTTGATCATCACTTAGTCCATTTAAATAGCCATTTGGAGGTATACATTATCAGACACACGGTCAGTGTTAACACAAACTCCAATGTCTCTTTTTGCAGTACCTATGGATGCTCGAACCTGTCACTTTCATCGCACCGTTGGGTACTTGGAAAATGGATGTCGAAAAATCCGAATGTCAAGTCGAATGATGATGGTGATGAGGAGGAGGATGATGATGATGATGATGTTGATGATGATGGTGATGATGACGAGACACTGCGAAGGGGCTGCTGCGTGAAGAGACTCACCAGGCATATGGCGAGAGTTCCCTTTGAGGGGGGGGGGCTCTGATTGTCGTTGTGATGTGACTCCAGCTTGGGTGGTTCATGAATCGTGGACGGGCATGAAACTGGACATTCATAGCTGAACGGAGATATCTGGATCCGAAAAGAGGGCACCCCACGATTGCCATGGTTGATCATCACTTAGTCTATTTAAAGAGCCATTTGGAGGTATATTGTCTGACACACGCATCGTGCGGGGGGAAAAAAACGGTCAGTGTTAGCACCAACCCCAAAGTCGCTTTTGCGGTACCTATGGATGCTCGAACCTGTCACTTTCATCGCACCGTTGGGTACGGGGCAAATGGATGTCGAAAAATCCGAATTGCAAGCCGAATGATGATGATGATGATGATGATGACGATGATGCTGATGATGAGACACTGCGAAGGGGCTGCTGCGTGAAGAGACGCACAAGGCATGTGACGAGAGTTCACTTGGGGGGGGGGCATGGAACTGGACATTTAGAGCTGAGCGGAGATATCTGGATCCGAAAAGAGAGCACCCACGATTGCCATGGTTGATCATCACTTAGTCCATTTAAATAGCCATTTGGAGGTATACATTATCAGACACACGGTCAGTGTTAACACAAACTCCAATGTCTCTTTTTGCAGTACCTATGGATGCTCGAACCTGTCACTTTCATCGCACCGTTGGGTACTTGGAAAATGGATGTCGAAAAATCCGAATGTCAAGTCGAATGATGATGGTGATGAGGAGGAGGATGATGATGATGTTGATGATGATGGTGGTGATGACGAGACACTGCGAAGGGGCTGCTGCGTGAAGAGACTCACCAGGTCGTTTCTCCTGGTTGTTCAAGGATAGGGGGTCCAGCCCGCCCCTTTGCTTCGCGAAGTAAAACTCAAGGTAGCCCGCTAGGAGGCTACCTTTCGTGAACAACCAACAACCAACAACCAACAACCAACAACCAACACCCACAACAACAACAAACCAACAACCAACAACACAACAACATAAAAACCAACAACAACAACAACAACGAACAAGAACACCAACAACAACAACAACAACCAACAACAACAACAACAACAAAACAACAACAACAACAACAAACAACAACAAACAACAACAAAACAACAACAACCAACAACAACAACATAACAACAACAACAACAACAAACAACAACAACAACAAACAACAACACAAACCAACAACAACAACAACAACAACAAAACAAACACAAACAACAACAAAAAACCAACAAACAAAACACAAACAAACAACAAACAAACAACAAAACAAACAAAAAAACAACAAAAAACACATCAAAACAACAACACAACAACACAACAACCAAAACAACCAAACAAACAACAAACCAAACAAAACCCAACCACAACCAACAACCAACAACCAACAACCAACAACAACAACAACAAACCAACAACCACAACAACCAACAAACAACAACCAACAAACAACAACCAACAAACAACAACCAACAACCAACAACCAACAACCAACAACCAACAACCAACAACCAACAACCAACAACCAACAACCAACAACCAACAACCAACAACCAACAACCAACAACCAACAACCACACAACAACAACAACAACAACAACACCAACAACCAACAACCAACAACCAACAACCAACAACCAACAACCAACAACCAACAACCAACAACCAACAACCAACAACCAACAACCAACAACAACAACAACCACAACCACAACCACAACCACAACGACAGCGACAACGACAACGACAACAAAAGGGCACCAGGTAAAAGAAAATGCAAGGGTTGGGAGAAGTAGCTAACGGCATCAGTTGCCCCTTTTAATGATGCATCAAACATGCCAGGCCGACATGCGCAGTGGCAGCTCTAGGACAAAGACCATGTTCAAACAAATGCGGAGTATGACCTCAGCAGCAAACAGTACTATGAATAAAGCTGTCGGTCCCTCTTGAAAGGCGCAGGTTCTGTAGACACTGTGTTGGGTCTCTGTTGGTTTTTGTTTGCGTTTGCGAGACTGATCGCATCCTCTCCCTCACTCAACACAGTTCAGTGTGGAATTATGCTCAGGAGCCACCAAGTCAGGACCAAGGAGCCCAAGGCGTTGGCAGAAACGCATCAAGCTTTGAGGACAGTAGTTGAACCTCTCCATAGGCACAGGGGAGCCATGCAGTTTCAAATCCATGCTTACGACCAATTGATTTTGCATCATGATTGCATCAATTCATCCCTTGAGATGATGGTCCATGATGGTCTATGCCAAGCCATGCATCTTGCTGAGATTTGTTGAGTACCCAATCCTCGAAGCCAACAAGAAGGGAACTGCTGAGAATTGCCAGCGCCAGGGTCATTTCCACCACATTGCTCCTCTCCATTGCCCGGATACGGCTGTGGCACATGCAAACAGGTTCATCCCAACTCAACATGGGCTGTGTCAATGAAACAATGGTTGCTCATAATTAAATAAGATGAACAAATAATAATAATCATAATAACAATAATGTGATGGTAATAACAATAATAAGACTAATAAGAATCAGAATGATAATCAGAATAAAATAATCATGATAATACTACAATGATAATGTAATGATAATCATCAAAATAATTATCATAATAACAACAAAGCAAAGGTGACAATGGTAGCAGGTAGCAACAACAACAATAAGAATAATAGTAAACTAGCAACAATACCAATAAAAATGATAATTGGTGAGGAGACAATGATAATATATAATAACAATAACAACGATAACGATGATGGCAATCATAGTAATAATAATAATAACAAGTAATAAGACGTAATAAGATGTAATCAGAATAATAAGAATGTTATTATTAATCAGAGTAAGTAATAATAGATTTAGACTTTAGATAAACAAATACACGGACGATTTTTGGGCCTACAACTGTATCTTAACAGGGTGCCAGCCGAAGATCCGACTGGGACGGCCCATCCATCCAACCCTGTGGCCTAAGACACTGCTGCAAACGGGTCAATTTCTTCATCTTTTCGTGGCTCGCACCGGAGCTGCGAAAGCTTTTGGCGTACTCATGGTGCGCCAAATCTGC